TTTGCTGCGGTTTTAAAACCAGAAAATTTCCATTGTGGCCAATAAAAGGGGGAAAAAAAAAAATTTTTTTTTCTCCCTTTTAAATTTATTCTATTTATTTTAAATTTTTATTTATTCTATTCTATTTATTCCCAATTTTATTCTATTTATTCTATTTTATTTTTTCAAATTTATATACCTACATGTTGGGAACATGTGTCGGGGTTTTGTTTTCAAGGCAGTTTGATCCCCCGCAGGCCTTTTCAAACTGCTCTGGTACTGGATTATGATCCCAGCGACTATAAAGTCCATATTTTGTGTAAAACACAAACAGAACTTGGACTTGACCCAGTTTCACTGCAGCTGTGGATCAACCTTTGCCCTGATTTCTGTCTGCAGAAACAGAAACCTGAGACTGAGCCGAAGGTCCAAACTGTCTTTGAACAGGCAGCCAATCACGTGCTGCCTGGGAAGCTGTCTGCCAATGGGATCACTGCACGTTTAGAAGAGTGATGGCGGGTTCTGGTAAGGTGAGAGAGTGGATGTGCAGGACGGGACAGTGCAGAACCCAGTAAAACCAGATGAACCAGTGTAGCTCAGTGGCTCTGCTGCTGGTTCTGATAGGGGTTCTGTTAGTTCTGCTTTGTTAAATCTGGTTCTGTTAGTTCTGCTTTGTTAAATCTGGTTCTGTTAGTTCTGTTGAAATGGGGGCAGCTGCAGAGGCTCGTAAACAAGAAGGTTCAATTACAACCACACAAGAAACAGGGTCAAAACACTGGAAAAAATCAATATCTAGATAAGTAATTTTTCTTAAAATAAGTGCATTTGTTCTTAGATTCATTTAAAATAATTTTATTGTCTTATTTCAAGTGCATATTATCTAATCATCTTATTTTAAGAGTAAAAATACTCACTACATTGGCAAACTTTCTCAATTACTTACTCAAATAAAGGGTTTCTAGATCTAGATTTCTAGATCGTTTTTCCAGTGAACAATCTGCTGCAACCTTTTTATAATATAGCAGCAGATTTAGCAGCCTGTACACTGAAAAAAATCAAAATCTAGATAAGTATTTTTTTCTTATAATAAATGCATTTGTTCTTGGATTAAGGAGGTAAAAGAGACCCATCTGAGAGACCCAGCTGAGGGAACAAGACAATTTACATTTAAAATAAAAAAAAAACACAATTGTATTGTAAAAATACTCACTCCATTGGCAAAAAAATCTAATTTACCTACTAAAATAAATGATAAATACACTTAAGTTAAGAAATGTTGACTTATTTCTGGATTATTTTTGCAGTGCATAAGATGCAACCAGAACTCCTGCTGTTCCTCTGCTCCTTCAACTCACACTTTTCTCCTTTTCTGGTTCTGCTTCTCAGAAAGTGGTTCTGGTTCTGCTCAGCAGCCTACTTAGAAGATGAAACTGAGCCTGAGGAACAGCTGTTGAGCTCAGCAGCTTCTAAATATGTCCCGGTGTCCTCATGCCCATAAACCAGCCTGACATCTGAGTGTGGGTCTGCTGCGGTTCATGAGACGGGTCAGGGTCCCACTGCAGCAAGAAGCAGGAAAGGCTTTTACTGTGAAGGGGGCAGGAGGCGTCCTGAAGCATCTGTATTCCTGAGCAGCTTTTCCTTTGGTGGTTTCAGCTCCGCACGCCTCCTCTCTGCTTGGAAGCGGTCACATGGACCGGATGACGGCTGTGGCTTTTAGCCTTCATCGTGCTTATGGAGTAAATTCTGTTACATTATTGTTGCAGCGAACAAAATATCTGAAAAAAAGTTGCAATCAGAAATGAAACTTTGAAAATCTTATTGATAAAAAAGGTTTTGAGTGATTAGATGGATAGATGTTTTGAGTAAAGTTTTCTTAGATTTAGTTTTTTCATGTTAATTTATTTTTTTTCCTTCATATTTTATGGTTTCAAAATTGTATTAAAGTGAAATTTTTCACTTTATTGGCTGCTCAGTGGGGCAGTGGGAAGCACTGCTGCCTGGCAACAAGAAGTTTCTGGATCAACTCCCAGCCCGCGGTCTTTCTGCATGGAGTTTGCATGTTCTCCCTGAGCATGCGTGGGTTCTCTCCGGGTACTCCGGCTTCCTCCCACAGTCCAAAAACATGACTGTTAGGTTAATTGGCTGCTCTAGATTCTCCTTAGGTGTGTGTGTATGAATGGTTGTTTTTCTCTGTGTTGCCCTCCGATGGACTGGAGACCTGTCCAGGGTGGACCCCGCCTCTTGCCCATACACTGGAAAAAATCTAAATCTAGATAGGTTGTTTTTTCTTAAAATAAGTGCATTTCTTCTTAAATTGAGGGGATTAAAGAGACATTTTGCCAATGGAACAAGACAATTTAGATTTAAAATAAGAAAACACAATTGCATCTTCTTATTTCAAGTGAATTTCATCTAATTATCTTATTTTAAGGGTAAAAATACTCATTCCATTGGCATATTATCAAATTTACCTATTCAAATCAAGGGTAAATACACTTAATTTAAGAAATGTTTACTTATTTCTAGATCATTTTTGCAGTGTAGACAGCTGGAGATGGGCACCATCATCGCTCGTGACCGCAGCAGGGATAAGCATGATAGAAAATGGATGTATTCAAATGACATTTTTTCATTCAAAATTCATTTTTAGTACATATTTATTTGATTAATTTATTTTATTCAAATTTCTTTTTCAAATTGTGTTTCTCAGATCACATTCTCTTCACTTCACTGGAAAAACGATCTAGAAATAAGTAAACATTTCTTAAAATAAGTGTATTTACCCTTTATTTAAGTAGGTAACTGACATAGTTTGCCAATTGAGTGAGTATTTTACTCTTAAAATAAGATAATTAGATAATATGCACTTGAAATAAGACAATTAAATTGTGTTTTCTTATTTTAAATGAAAATTGTCTTGTTCCATTGGCAAAGTGTCTCTTTTATCTCCTCAATCCAAGAACAAATGCACGTATTTTAAGAAAAAATGACTTATCTAGATTTCAATTTTTTTCCTGTGTTTAAGCTTAGCACAAACACTCACTCTTGACCAATAAAAATATTGCTAATGTCAAGTGGACCAATAGAAATGTGTCTTTACTCCTCACGCTAGAGAAAAGCCCGCCCACAGGAGTGAAGAGAATGTGATCTAGAAAACTTACTTTAAAAATAATTATATTCCTAAAACTTTACGAACAAAAGACAATGCATTTATTTTTAGGAGAAAGCGAGTAACTTATATTTAATTTTATGCAGTATATGTGCCTTCCCTATCCTTCTGCAAAGTTTTCTATTCAGAGCTGTAAAACATGTTTGAATTGAAAAGAGACATTCCTTTTAACCAGTCTCTGGGCCACGGCGCTGTGTGCAGCAGGAGGGAGAAGGAAAAGGCATCTGCCCTGAAAATGACCTGATGACTCTGCAGAGCAGATTTAGGTTGTTAAACACAGCTCGCTGGTCTGTGTGTCATTTTGTAAGCCGAGGTGTCTTCTTTCTTTTCTTTATTTCGCTTTAGGCAAGGTTTTTGGTTTTTAAATAGTAAACTAATCTTACTGTTAGATCTGCTTTATTTTAAGCACCTTCATGAGAAAAAGCTTTATTTTCTCCTCTTCCCATGGTTGAACTGTCCGTTTAGTCGCATTCTGCCTGCTCAGCTCCATCTGTACTAACTGTAACACTTTACAATAACCGTTATTTATTTAAGGTAAAGAGACCATTATTCAGCCATTTATCAAACTATTTATAAAAGGTAAATAGATCATATTGTCCTATCTTGTTAAGTTTATCCCTAACTCTTACATCAGTGGCCTGAAGACCTGAACCTAGCCTTTATTTTTAAGTTACAGTATTTTTCAATAGAGCAAACCTCACTATAAGCTACACCCACTTAGTTTTTATCTAAAGGAAAGGTTATATTCAGAATTCAAACTTCTAAAAGTTCTTTAAATCTGAAATGATTCCATCCTGTTCAATAAATGATCAGTGTTTTTAATTCAGAGTAATTTTCATGTGAATGTGCTTTACTGGAGGCATCCATGTTTGTCAAAGAACACTACTGCCACCTACTGGTTAGTGACATTGTCACGGTGCGGTATCGGCTGTTGATCAAGTCCCAGTGCTGTATCTGGTGTTTGTCACAACGCGCTATTATCCAAGTCATCTTGAAAACATTCTTCTTCCAAATGTTGGCTACATATTACGGGTTTTTTCTCTGGCCAGAAGTTCGATGGCAAATCCTCCCTCTTCAAGTTGGCGATCCAACGACCAACCCGTCCGTGGAGGATCAGGAATCAGAAAGGTGGAGTAACTCTTTACTTTCACTTTTACCCGGTGTATTCCAGCATCCAGCTGCCATGCACGTGGGCATTGTCAGTTTCACTATAGCTCTGGTGAATTTCAATGGTGACGTCCTCTGGAAATCTTCAATAATTGTTGTTGACTGCAGATGTGTCTAGTAGTTCCCATTGATTTTCGTTTTGTATACAAAATGACAATAGAAGTTGTCTTAGTCTAAGTATGAAAAAAACATGAAACCTGGAACCGATCGCATAATCTAAAACCACAAGTTTATCAAAAATGTTTCATTATGTTCTAATAACATTAATCTATAAATAGTGTAGAATAATTAGATTAGAAAACGAGAATGTTTGGTCATTATGGTCAAACTGGGAACCATTATGAAAACCAAATAAACTGCAGACAGGTTAAGGAGAATGATCTACAGAAGATTAAATCAGGATTACGTTTTATATTATATTTGATATTTTGTTTTTGTCTCTTCCATAAAATCTGTAAAGTCTAAGGTTTGTGGCAAAGCTATTAATACTTATGCAACTGCAAACTGCAGCAAGAGCAATAAAAATCCAGTGACTTAAATATGTTGATAACTTGTTAAAAAAAAGTTTATTGGATAAATACAAAAATAAATAAAAAAAATCTATTTACAAAATATACATGACTGTTATTTACTGTTAAAAAATCCTAAACACAAATTTACAAAAAAAGTTTTCATAACAACTGTGTTTTTTTTTTACACATTATTGTTTAACTGTCATCAAGAGCTGAGTCATCATCATTAAAAGGTCAATTATTTTCATTAACAGCTGAGTTATGGTTATTAAAGGGACAAGAGAGTAATCTTCATAAACAGCCAAGTCAATGTCACTAAAAACAGATCATATAAAAGATGTCAGGATGTCAGGAACACCTGAGTCATCGTCAGACACAGCTGAGTCATCGTCGGATAAGGCAATGACTTGGTCATCGTCATTAAAAGTCCAAGTGAAATAAAAGGTTTTGGTGTAAAATAAAGCTGTTAGAAAAAAGCTGAGTCATTGTCATTATCAAAGTCATCTGAAAGATGTCAGTATAAAATAGATCATCATCAGAAACAACCAAGTCATTGTTACAAACAGCTGAGTCGTCGTCAGAATCAGGCGAGTCAGTGTCAGAAACAGCTGAGTCAGTGTCAGAAACAGCTGAGTCAGTGTCAGAAACAGCTGAGTCATCGTCAGAATCAGGCGAGTCAGTGTCAGAAACAGCTGAGTCAGTGTCAGAAACAGCTGAGTCAGTGTCAGAAACAGCTGAGTCATCGTCAGAATCAGGCGAGTCAGTGTCAGAAACAGCTGAGTCATCGTCAGAATCAGGCGAGTCAGTGTCAGAAACAGCTGAGTCAGTGTCAGAAACAGCTGAGTCAGTGTCAGGAACAGCTGAGTCATCTACAGAAAAAGCTGAGTCATTTTTACAAACTGTAACAAATGTCAACAAATGGTATAAAAGATGTCAGAATAACATAGAGGTGCTGTCAGGAATATTTGAATCGTTCTCAGAAACGGATGAGTTATTAATGGAAATCTCATGCTCCAGTTTCGTCTTTAACTGGACACGATGGGTCTACACCGTCCTCCTCCCGTTGTCTGTCCCATCAAATGGACAATGTCTTCTTTCGTCTGGCCTCAAAAGACTGGAACAGCCTGTCTGGGGTCGACGGCATCTTTATCGACCTGAAGACCACGAGAAGATCAGAGATTAGACACGATGTTCGTCTGACCGTTCGCCACCAAAAGTCGTGACATGACTGACCCAGACCAGGGGGGTTGGGCTGTCTCACCTCACTGTAGGCGGGGGGAGGGGGAGGGTAGCCAGCTGCACTAATTGTCATGAAGAGCCCTCCGTCTTCATCATCATCCTCTGCGCCGTCATAGTCGTGCAGCAGCGGCGTGCGCGGGCCATCCACCTTCAGGTCTCTGGCAATATTGCTGTAGCTGGGAGGAGCCGAGCGGATGGAGGCCCAGCTGCTGGAAGCCTGGCTGCTCATGCTGCTGGTTCTGCTGCCGACGCCGCTGAACGGGATGGTTCCAATGACCAGAGGAAGCTCCAAGATCAGCTTTTCACTGCCGGGGATGTGCAGGTAGATCTGGACAAGACAGAGTGAGAGAAATGTTACCTCAATGTTCTCCTCTTGTTGCTTCTGGACTTGATGATCTTCACCAGGTTATTTTTTATACATCATCAGTGTTACATTCCATTAAGAAGATGAATAAACAAACGTCATCTGCATAAAGGCCTGATTTAATAGACAAACCAGATCCAGATGGTCTGATTTCTCTCTATATCTTGAGTCTTTGAGGACATAAATCAGCCTCTTCAAGTAAACACCTAAAGTCACCGCACTGAATGCCTCCCCAAAGACACCATAATGACTTACCATGAGCGCATAGTCCACCTTGATGATGTCACAACCCAGCAGCGTGGGCCTCAGTTTGGGGACTCTGATGGTCCTCCCCTGCCACATGTCACACATGCCGGAGATGATAGGGTTCCCTCGGACTGCTGTCAGTTTCTGCCGCATGACCTGTTGAGGAACCAGGAGTTGAAAGCGGCAGCGGGGCCCCGAACGTCCCGGACGGTCCGACCACGGCGAATGCTCACCTTGGTTTGGTTGTTGATGCTGTATGAGTGTTTAGCGATGATGGCAGCCTTCGGCACCACGATTCGAGAACAGGTGTTCTCGAACTTCGCGTTGATGTTGATCTCTTCGCCCTCGCAGAAACCTTTTCTGTCAATCCGCGCTGAGATGGAGACTTGGCCGTCAGGGATGAACATGCAGGTGACCTTCTTCTGTTTAGACGCGGCCGCCGGAGCCTGAAAGAGAAGGCTCAGGGTCAAGATCAGCATCAGGTTGTTCCTTCTTTCCACTCAGGTTTCCACGATTAATAGAACTGATGAGTTTCTAAAGTTGGACTCAATCCATGATCAGCTTTAGTCAGTCTATTGTTCTGTTTGAAGCTGAAAGCTTTGAGTTCTTCTAAGTGAACTAAAGCTTCAGTTTTCTACCTAACCTGTTGCAGGGGCAGAGCTAGATGGGGGGCCAGGGGCAATGGCAACCCCTGTGGCCACCCCTACGATTTTTTCCCTTTAATACAGGCGATGGCAGCAGTAATCTCATAAAACATTTAAATTTTTCATATATTACTTGCAATTTTTTCATATATTCATAATTACTTGTAAACAAAAACATATATCATAGACTAATAACAATTTTGATAATAAAAATATATGAAATAATCAATTTATGTAGATATTAGTAGTTGTAAATGTCAATTTTATGCAGAATGATTATTGATAAAAGCAGGTAAGTAATGAAAATGGAAAATATTTTTATATATATTAAGTACGGATGTTTCAATATACTGTATGTGTCTATTTGTTAGCAAAGGTTGTACACTGGAAAAAACTAAATAATTTTTTTCTTAAAAATAAGTGCATTTGTTTTCGGATTCGGGAGGTAAAAGATGCATTTTGCCAATGGAACGAGACAATTTACACTTAAAATAAGAAAACATGATTGCATTGTCCTTTTTCAAGTGCATATTATCTAATTATCTTATTTTAAGAGAAAAATACTCCTTCCATTGGAAAACTATCTCATTTACCTGCTCAAATTAAGGGTAAATACACTTAATCTAAGACATGTTTATAGATCATTTTTCCAGTGTAGGAAAGTATAGTTTGTCTTTATTTAGAAAATATATACACTGCAAAAACAATCTAGAAATAAGTAAAGATTTCTTGAATTAAGTGTATTTACCCTTAATTTGAGTAGGTAAGTAAGAGGATTTGCCAATGGAATTAGTATTTTTACTCTTAAAATAAGATAATTAGATAAAATTCACTTGAAATAAAAAAAATGCAATTATTTTTTTTCTTATTTTAAATGTAAATTGTCTTGTTCCATTGGCAAAGTGTCTCATTTACCCCCTCAATTCAAGAAAAAATGCACTGATTTTAAGAAAAATTGGCTTATTAAGATTGAAATTTTTTGCAGTGTATGTTTTGCTTATTAATTTTCCTGTTGGAACAGTGTAGATTAACCCTCAGTATACATTAGTTATTGCCTGGCCACCCTTATAAAAATATTCTGGCTACGCCTCTGAATGGTTGTGATTCTGTCACTGAGGTTCGTACCAGCAGGTCGGGTTGGTTGACATCCAACGGCTCTTCTACTTCAAACTCCTGCTCGCACTGCAGAGCCTGTTGGGAAGGTCGCTGCAGCTCCGCCCTCACGTAATAACGCACAGATCCAAACTTCCCTTTGAAGGACGACACAAGGCGCCTGCAGCAGAAGCCAGCAGGGTCAGCTAAATCATGCACAGGTAAAGGGAGAAGAGATTAACCTGAAGGGATCAGAGACTCACCCTGGAGGAGGAAGCTCGAAGCCAAACTGAAAGCTGAAGGACTTCCCAGCAGGAAGCAGGAAGCAGCCGTCAGAGTCTGAGATAAAGAGGGACATAAGCAGAAACTTAGCAGTTTGGAAGACTGGACCGAAAGCGTCTCTGTGACCCAACACAGCACAGGCCCCTTGCACTGCAAATATTATCTTAAAATTAGTTAAAAAAATTAAAATAAATGACTTTACCCTTAATTTGAGAAGGTAAATAAGATGATCTGCCAATGGAGTTAGTAAGTTTCGCCTTAGAATAAGATAATTAGATATTATGCACTTGATATAAGAGACTGCAGTTGTTTTTTCTTAATTTAAACGTTAATTGTCTTGTTCAATTGTCAAAAAGTCACAATTACCTGCTCAATTCAAGAGAAAATGCACTTAATTTAAGAAAAACTGACTTAATTAGACTTATTTTTTTGCAGTGTATGGATCGGGAATGAAACTACACTGCAAAAAATGGAAATATAATTAAGCAATTTTTACTTAAAATAAGTGCATTTTTTCTCCAATTCAGTACGAAAGTGAGACACTTTGCCAATAGAACAAGACAATTTACATTTAAAAGAAGAAAAAACAATTGCATTGTCTTATTTCAAGTTCATATTATCTAATTATTTTATTTTAAGAGTAAAGATACTAATTTCATTGGCAAATCATTTTATTTACCCACTTAAATTAAGGGTAAATACACTTAATTTAAGAAAATTTTAATTATTTCTAGATCATTTTTGCAGTGTAGAACTATGGTAAATGTAACAGTCCCAAAGCCTGACCAATCTCTGACTGCTGCTCTAGAGTTCTTCATATAACCTTCTATATTTCAATAAATCCAGCAGGTTCTGATGGACAGATTCATCCAGCTGCACAAACGTCCTCACCTGGGCTCAGAAACTCCTCCAGCCGAATGTCTTCCTCATACTTGAGGTACTCCACCTCCTGGCTGCGGCCCCGGTTCTCCACCCGGGCACACCCGGCGGCGGTGACCCTGAGGCTGGTCAGCCTGCAGGGGGGGCCCGCTTCCAGCTGGACGAAACCGGACAGTTTGTCTCCGCTGCAGTAGAAAGTCCGGCTTGGGTCAGAGAAGAGGAGCCGGAACACCCGGGGCCTGTTGGCTGAGGACAGAACCATGGTACCAACAGAAAGGAGACGTTCAGTGAAAGTGAACCGTATCAGTGAAGCTCAACCTGATCAATCAGAACAATCAGAAGAGTTTGATAAGTCTGGATGTTTTTGCAGGGCACTGAGGCAGCTCTGCTTTATACCCAAGAGGGGAGGGGGGGGCAGGGATCTGTTACCTCCACTCTGAGCAGCACGTGCACACTGTGTGCACATGCCGAACCTTCAAAAACAGAGTCCTGTGATTGGTCAGGGCGGACGGTCAGCCAATCTGAGCTCAGAGAGCCCGCATGGACAGCAGCTGGACTGACGGGGGCGGGGCCTGGAGGGTCCTTAGAGTGAGAATAGAAACAGATCTACTGTAATAGAAACAGTTTTACTGTAAACAACAGCTGCAGCCATTCAGAACATTCAGAACAGAACCAAACAAAACAAAACAAATAAACAGAGGCCAAAGAGGAGTACTTAAACACCAGGAGGCAGAAGAAACTGGTTCATAGTTCACTGTTCACCAGTTGCAGGTGTTTAACCTCCAGATGTTTCCCAGCAGGTCAATAGTTCTGAACCCGACCCAAACAGGGAGAAGATGGATTAAAGCACTTTTTACAAACAAAAAACTAGAGAGATCGAATTATATTCAGCTCTCTTTAATATGACCTCTGACCTCAAAACTGAAGCAATTCAGCCTAACTGCCGAGGTTCTGCTTCTGGTCTCAGAAGTTCTTTACAGAACATCCAGCATCAAATGACCCAGCAGGCAGTTAAAGTCATAGGGAAGTCATATTTAAATGTCAAATCATTCTGGCTTAAACATGTTTATAAATGTACTCTTAATCAGACCATATTGTCCCAAAAGTTAGAAAATTTCTATTTTAAAAAAAATCCTGTCTTAACATCTGTGTTTTTTCTAATTATCTTCCGCAGGCCAGTTAGTTATAAGTCAGCCTGAACACCTAAATTCGGCCAATCATAAATAAACGGTCGTCTGTCAATCAAACTGGATGGTAATGGATGAAGGAGGAGACGCATCCACGACCTCCGACACTAAACTCTCCTCCTCTTGCATGTTTCCTCTGTCCATAGCGTTCCTTGACAGCGTCGTTTCTAAGTCACCAATTTAGTGCTACTTGGTCCCAATGGAATTTCCCATTGAGAACCTACTAGCACTAAGTTGCTAACTGGTTAGCAAGATGATTCCGACAAACCGGCCAGAACCAAACTTGCTTGCAAACCTTCCACCACAACAAACCCGCCCCCTTGATAATCGAACGATCACGTTCACTTTATTCACTAAAGTCGGACACCAATTGGGAGAATTCGGAAATGCAACGGTTGGAACAGCAGCTTCACTACGACTTTAAGGATGAAAATTGTAGAAATTATAATTCAGCCATCATCTGAACACTGCCTTCTATTAAGACAAGAATCAACATCCAGCCAGATATGCAACAGAGGGTTTAGATTAAACCAAATTCAAGGGTTAGAACGGCCTAGTCAAAGTTAAGACCTGGCAGTCTGTGGCAAACCAATGTTCAGCAATGCTTCAGGAGCTGGTCTTTCCATCTGGGTTGGTCATGTGGTGTTTTGTTTTGTCTCAGCAGATACATGTACACCGCACTTTTCAGTTCTTAATCCATTAATCACTTTCAAACCCCCCTTCATACAGGGGTGCAATTTTTTTTTTTCCTGGCCTCTTCTAAATGATAAAGGCTTTGGTAAACAGCTTGAGTTTTAAAGGACTTGTTTTTACATCAGATCTGATTGTTCCTTATGTTCCTAACAGAGCACTTCGCTCTCAATCTGCAGGTTTACTAGTGGTTCCTAGAATTTCTAAAAGTAGAATGGGAGGCAGATCTTTTAGTTATCAGGCTCCTCTCCTGTGGAACCAACTACCAGTTTTAGTCCGTGAGGCAGACACCCTGTCTACTTTTAAGGCTAGGCTTAAAACTTTCCTTTTTGATAAAGCTTCTAGTTAGAGTGGCGCAGGTTATCCTGAGCTATCTCTATAGTTCTGCTGCTATAGGCTTAGACTGCTGGAGGACATAGGGACCCCTTTTTCATTATTCTGCTTCATTCTATCTCTATTCTCCCACTCTGCAGAATCTGTTAGTTCAATCTCTAACGTTCTGCTCTCTCTGCTTTTCCTCATAGTAGCTTCATGGTCTGTTCCTGCTTGGCTGTGACTCCATCCTGGAGAGAAATATCAGCTGTGCTGCTGCCATCAACACCTTTGTTTCTAGATGTTGGAGCTTGGCCTGTTTTCCAGTGTAGTCCTGTTTCTCTGACTGTGACTAACTGGATGTGCTCTCTTCATCCTCTGACATGGGAGCTGGCTCGGAGCTCGTCTGCCTGGCTGTGTGTTTCCTAGACGGGGCCGCCTTTTACAGCTGCCTTTTGTATCTATGCTTCTTTTTCTATGTCTGCTTCTGTCTCCTTGAACCCCAGTGGGCCTCAGCAGATGGCCGCTCACACTGAGCCTGGTTCTGCTGGAGGTTTCTTCCTGTTAAAAGGGAGTTTTTCCTCTCCACTGTCGCTACAAGCATGCTTAGTGTGAGGGATTGCTGAAGAGTCAATGAGTCGATGCAATCAGCTGGTTTTCCTCAGATAGAAAACTTTGAATCAATCTGACTGGATGATCTGGTGAACTGGAAAGTACCTTGAGATGACATGTGTTGTAAATTGGCGCTATAGAAATAAACTTTCAGTATAACTGAAATTAAATTGAATTGAATAAATCATAAAAAGTTTAACAATATTCTATAAAAACCATTTTGATTTGTTGAGGTTTCTTTTTTCAGCCTTAAACTTAATTTCCTTTATGAGAACAGAAAATAAACATGGTTCCAAAATCCTATTTATACTTTTTGAACTAAAACATTTTGAACTGGAAACCAATTCTGAGTAAATCCAAAGAAAGTCCGTTCATTTTCATTATTTATCAAGGTTTTTTGGAAGCAACCACATCCACCTCCGCTTCATAGATTCATAAAGGTTGGACCAAAAATAATCACTACTCTGAAAAGACAACATCCTTCAAAAGATTATTTCTTGTTTTTGTTGGTTGATAATAAAAGGACAATAATTGGTAGAAATGATGGTTGGAGCACGTCGTCAAACAACCAAGGAGATCAACAAAATATATCTCCTTTCTATGGTTTTCCATCAATCTGACTGATGATCTGGTGAACTGTAAAGTGCATTGAGATGACGTGTGTTGTGAATTGACGCTATAGAACTAAATTGAATTGAATGTAGAGGATCTAAATGGTTTCAGGTGAAACAGAAGAAGAAATGCTTGTTCAGTCAGATGAACTGAACCATCGGCGCCATCTGCTGGACCGTCCTCTGGATCAGTAAGATCTGCTTCATGGTGGTAGAACCATCTCCCCTTTCCAGGTGGGGAGGTAACAGCCCAGCTGAGCTCCGTCCTCCGAAAAGCAGGTGGACTCTGGAACCAGTGGACATTTTCTCCTATTTTTCCAGAAGTTTTTGAATTTTTGTCTGAGTATCAGATTTTCTTTCTGAGCCAGGAGTCTGACAAACGGTCATTATGGCTTCATGGTGACAATAAAAACTGAACCTGACAAAGCAGGTAAAGATCTTCAACACACCTGTGCAGCAGCACCTTTTAACCTCAATCTGTTCTATTCACACATTTCTGTAGATCTGTCAGATTGATTTATTATTAAGCCCAAAACATATAACCTCACTCATCAGGCAGGAGGGGTTCCTTTTTTAAACTCATTCAATGTTTATATTCTATCCTAAAGTAGCCTGAATCCTCTGGATCTGGATGTGTTGTGCAGAACCAGAACCATTGGACAGTTTTAGGAGCCAATCAGAAGGCTTCACAGGTGGCTCTGTTCTTCAGGTGACCTCAGTGTCAGAGTCCTCGGTTCAGTCGATCCTGATCGTACCCAAAGCGTCAGAGAGTTCAGGCTCATCCTAACCCACTGCACACTTCCAAAATAGAACTGGTCCCAGTTTAACTTTGATTCTGGTTATTTCTGCCTGTTTAAATGTTCAGCGCCTTGGTGTTACACTGCCCCCTGCTGGCTTTAGTGATTATCCAGAAAATTCAGGGATTGGTTCAAATTTTTCTTTTTGAGTGTACCTGACAGTTAAGAATGGCATTCAATTCAATTCAAGTTTATTTCTATAGCTCCAATTCACATCACGTCATCTCAAGGCACTTTCCAGTTCACCAGATCATCCAGTCAAATTGATTCAAAGCTTTTATCTAAAGAAAACCAGCTGATTGCATCGACTCATTGACTCTTCAGCAATCCCTCACACTAAGCATGCTTGTAGCGACAGTGGAGAGGAAAAACTCCCTTTGAACAGGAAGAAACCTCCAGCAGAACCAGGCTCAGTGTGAGCGGCCATCTGCTGAGGCCCACTGGGGTTCAAGGAGACAGAAGCAGACAAAACAGGTTGATCTCCAACATCTAGAAACAAAGGTGTTGATGGCAGCAGCACAGCTGATATTTCTCTCCAAGATGGAGTCACAGCCAAACAGGAACAGACGAGGCAAATAGGGGTCTAACCCCCAGGATAAGACCCCTGGGTACCTGAGAGGAAGCTGGATGCTACACATCAAGTTCTTTAGCGAAATGAGTCAAAGCTCTACAGCAGAGTTCTTCATTTCTAGTTCTCCAGGACTGGTGTCCAGCACCTTTTACATGCCACTCTGCTTCCACACTGAGTCAGAGAATCAGGTCATTAGCAGGACGGAGGAGAACCTGACTGAGTCTCAATGAAGTCATTCAGTCGCTTGATTCAGCTGTGGCACATCTAAAAGGCGCAGGACATCGGATGTTCGACCAAAATTTATGAACTCCGTGTAAGATGGAAGAAAGAAAATTAATTCCACCAAAAGTCCTTCATCTTATATTTTTATTAATGTATTCTCTTTCAGTTTTTTCTTGGAATTATTTCCAAAAACAATAATCTGCATAATAGTTTGGGGAAAGTTTAGTTTTACTTCTGCAGGTAATTTGTTAATATTTTTTTATTGTTGACTGAAATTTTTTGGGTTGTTTTGTAGTTATATAGTTTGTAGTTATATATATATATATATATATATATATATATATATATATATATATATATATATATATATATATATATATATATATATATATATATATATATATATATAACTTTGAATCAGTCTGACTGGATGATCTGGTGAACTGTAAAGTGCCTTGAGATGAAATGTGTTGTGCACTACTGGCGCTATAGAAATAAACTGAATTTAATTGAATCTCCTGAATCGTGCTACATGTGGTTTCACATGAGTTTACTGTTTCCAGCTCTTGAATCTTCTTTCTTTAGCCAAGAAATCTAGTTATTTAGTATATTAGAATCTGAACCATAACCAAACTGGCCTTAAAAACCAGTTCAGAATGTTATAAAGGAAAGAAAACAGAACCATCTTAAATACATTTTTTTATTGTAGGAGGGAAAGCAGGTAAACCTCCTGCACAACAACATAAAACCCAAACTAGAACCAGGTCAGAACCAACCAGATAAACAAGAACCCCCTTACATCTGTCAGTGTTGCTATAGTAACTGTTTTAGTTAACTCCATCTCAAGCTTGTCTGTTTAAAATTAAATAAAAGGCAGCAGAACTTCTGTGAAGTGAGGGTCTGAGGTTCAGTGGAAGGACGATGAGATTCTGAGCGCCACTTTGACCCTGGACCTGCTTTCCATGGAGGTCAGCTCAGATTCGTCAGATTGGATCAGGTTGGAGAGTAAGAACTCCTTTTTAATAAATTTGAAGCTCCTCCAAAACCAGCAGAAAACTGACCCCCAACAAAAACAAAGTCCGTATAAATAAAATAAAGTTTGTTCTCTGTACATCCAGCCGACAGCTTCATAAGCTTCAGCCTCAATAATCCCCGTAGTCTGAGGTTGTCATCTACTCAGCTTCTCATCATACCTGCAGGAGACAGAAACATAAGATATTACAATAAAAAAGAAAAATCTGGAGAACAATTAGATTCTTTTTAAACGTTGGGAGGATTCACTTTAATTTGGGATGTTAGCAAAATACACTCAGAGATACAAAGGTGATCCAGAACAGGTTCTGAAAAGCATCACAGCATTTACAAGATGACGTGAACACAGGGGCGGATTTACCATTAGTCAATACTAGGCAGGTGCCTAGGGCCCCAAGTTCCTAGGGGCCTCATAACTCTGTTTACATGTATAGTTAATACAACTATTCCTTATTTGTGCACATTAATTATGTTTTTGATAAAAATACTTTCTTCAAAATGCCATCAGAACGCTGATAATATTAAGTGTGTCTCAGCCCCCCCCCCTTCAGTGTCCACCATATTGGATCAGTCCATTTGCTGCACATGTTCAGAAAGGTCCAAACAGACAGCAGCAAACCATTTGAAAACAAACCATGCAAAGAGCAGTGTTGCCAACTTAGCGCTTTAGTCGCTATATTTAGCCACTTTTCAGACCCCTCTAGCACTTTGATTTCTAAAAAGCTCCTAGCGCCAAATCTAGAGACTTTTTTCTGCTACTGGAGACTTTGGAGACAACATCTAAAAGCAGCGAACTCTGCTCTCCAGAGCGAGTAGATTGGTAACCCCGCCTCCTGCTCTCCTCTATCTTGTCTGCTGTCATGATTCATGCAGCTATTATTTCATCCAAATGAAAAATGGAGAACAGAGAAGCAGATCATGGCTTGTCTACAGTGAAAAGAAGGACTGGGTTATTTACTTTGGCCTTTTTGGAAACACAGGAAGGAGCAATCAGCTAAGTGAGCTTAGTGCTTGGAAAAAATCTTTCATTCCTTTAGAGACAGCATGAAAAGTCAGCTGAGTACAAAACATAGAGAGGAAAACAAGAAGAAAAGGGACACGAAGAGAGGGACACAACCTAGAACAGATAATGGATGTCTATTCTATTAACATTTCTCTATCTGTAGAATGGGTCTGTTTTATGTGTTGTCTTCTCCATTCAGAGGGCCCCCTGCCTGTCTTTGCCTTGGGCCCCACATTTCCTAAATCCGCCCCTGTGTGAACACGTGAACCAGTAGACAGATCTGCATGCAATTATAGAATTTCCCCAGAGAAACAGAAGGTTCACAATAGAGGTAAAGCCGGTTACAGCAGAGATGCATCACGCCTAATTCAAAGCAGAAACTGAAGAAAGACAGAAATGAAGCTCCTACTGTCGTATTGCATCTGGGATCTGCAGCCTGTCTGTTGGGATGGACTGAGAGAGTTGCTGAAGATTCTGAACAAAACGAATCTTCCTGCTGAACTTGTCACTGTGAAGGACAGGTGAGGTCAGAAGTCACATTAATTACTACAGGAACCAGACATTTAGATGTTGCTTTTTAGGCTAAATCAGGTCATTGTCTTGATTTAATCTAGAAATCGTTGTTGAAAATTGGGCTCTTTGGTCCGTATGTTTTCTTTTCCCACTTTAGTCCAATAACAGAGCAGTTTGCAACGTCTTTTCAACAATCTGAAAATTACTGCCTTTCACTTTTTAATGTAGACATATGGACGTAAATCATGATGTCTTTACAATGTCGTAACCAGTTTTTGCTTGGTGAGAAGACGCTCATGTTGGCAGGTGTTCTTCGGCCCGGTACAGTGCTGCTTAGTTTAAATGGATCAGATGTGATGTAAAGAATGTGTTTCTGATCATTTTTTATGCTCCCCGGACTCTTGGGTGGAAGTCACCTGCGCCGATCACACGCCAAAGTGTTATCCATCTGGCCAAAGTAGCCAGGACGCATCATCATTTCCGACACTAAAAGTGGTAAGGTATGCCACAGAGGGCCTGAGTGGGATTCCATCTCCAGACTCCTGAGTGAAAGTCACGCGCGCTGACCAGTCAGCCGGAGGGTTATCCTCTTGGCCAAGCAGCAAAGGCGCATGATCAGTCATAGACATTGTGACAGAAGCCCACACTGTCACATCTCTCCTCCTCTTTCCTATGAGGTTCCATCTGTGCCAAACATGTGTTCAAGTGTGCTGTGACGTCTGCATGTGTCTATCTAAGGCGTTTACAACATATCTGACATCGTATCTGACATACTTATGTAACTGAAGCTGTTTATTGTGGTCGGAACATTTTGTTTCTCATATTTAATATGAATTTATGCTATTTAATCACTATACATTTTTACTCAACATTTTTCACCTGCAAGGCCACACAATCCCCCTGCATGAGGGCGTTTTTACATACATTCTTCTTTCTCAAGGTTTATTTATAACATGTTACAGTTTAACCAAAGTGTCTGTAATTAGTTTTGACTCTCACAACTTTTCATTATTGTAAGTAAGAGGGGACGGACGCTGGCAAGATCAGAACAGGGCAGATTACCATGCAATAAGGGCCGTATGATGAACCGTTCTCCAACTGATGAAGCGCCAACTGAGAGAAATCAATGTATCTACGTTTATTTAACTGGAGTAAATAGTTGAATGCTTTTTTCCCAGTACGATTTGAAACAGATGGATATCTTGTGTCCAAATCCTGAGTTCATATGTATTGTGTCTGTTGGGATCCTCAGGCTTGCCCACCAGAGGACACCGAGGATCCTCTTCTGCTCTCTTTGTTTTTTCCCTTAGGTTTGGAGTTACTGTGGGGATCTGGAGATTACCCTCTGTCTCCAGCAGGATGCGCTGTGGGTCTTCTGGAGCTGGAACTTTCCTGCACACCTGTTCCTAATCCTCTCATTAGAAGACCTCTCCTTTATAAGCTCCTGCCTGACCTTGATCCCACGCCGCGATTAGGTTTTGTGAAGAAAGAAAGGATCCTGGTCGAGACGTTGGTCGTTTGGTGCATGGCGCGTGTTTTGAAGCTGCTCTGCTTGTGGAGAAATGTCCTGGGCCGTGAGTAGTGAGGAAACAGGAAGCGATTCTTGTGGGATGGAAGAGGGAAATAGTGACAATGAAGGTTGGAAGATAGCAGCATCAAAAAATGAGAAAAAGCTGAAAAAACAGAGATCAGTTAAAGGGGAATCTAGTTCAGAACAATCCAGTGATGATCAATCCATACATTCCACAGCAAAACAAAATGAATTCAAAGTCATATTCAAAGTCGTTAATCAGGCAGACTCTTTTACAAACTGGAATCCGGTTCACTTAACAAAAACCATCAATAAACTTGTTGGAGAAGTCAGAGGTGCCAGAATTCTGTACAGTGGAGACCTGCTAATTAACTGCAGAGACAGCGCCCAGCAAGGCAAAGCAATACGAATTAACAAAATTGACGGGATAAGAGTTCAGTGCAGCCTAATGGAGAACAAAAAGATCAGCAGGGGAGTCATTGGAGGAGTTCCTCTAAAAATTTCTGAAAAAGAGATTCTGGAAAACATAAGCGGTGCAAAAGTAAAAGAAGTAAAACGGTTAAAAACAACAAGAAACTGAGAAAGATCTGACAGTTTATCTGTACTAATTAAATTCGAGGAAGAGCAATTACCAAGCAAAGTATTCATTGGTTACATCAGTTACAATGTCAAAATCTACAATCCTCCACCATTGAGATGTTTCAAATGTCAAAAATTCGGACACATTGCAGCAGTTTGTAAAGGGAAACAGAGGTGTGGAAGGTGTGCAGGAGAACATGAATATGGTAAATGTGGAAAAGAAGCTAAAATAAAATGCTGTAATTGTGGTGGAGGACATACTGCTGCTTATCGCGGCTGTGAAGCAAGCAAAAGGTCTGAAGAAATAAAAAAAATGAAATTTGAGCTTGGAATAACTTATGCTGAAGCTGCAAAAAGGATCCCATCTCAGTCAGAAAAACCCAAACCTACAGTTCAACACACGGCAAATTTCAAACCTCTAGAGAAATCTCCAAAAATTGATGAAGACTCACTAATTGTTAAAAAGACAAATTTTGTTCTTTTCATGGTGGAAGTGATTAATTGTACTGCTCAGACGACAAAAAAAAACAGAAAAAATCAAAATAATAGTGAAGGCTGCAGAAAAATATCTGGATGTTAAAGATATGAACTGGGAGATGGTTGGAAGCATGATGGAAAGACCAATGGGACCATCAGAAACTGGCAGAGTTACGATGACCTAGAGTAAATTAAAATTATACGGGCAAATGTAATTTAGTATAATTTAGTATTATGTGGGTTTAAGTTACACAGGTATTTTTTTTTTTTTTTTTTTTTTTATTGGGGGGGGTGAATCGTTTCCTGTTTCCTTGCTTTACTCCATATCAGTTGGTGGCGGTAATGCACATTTCACAAGTTTGCCAACCGCCATAAAATCTCATAAGAAGAAGAAGATCCCACGCCGCAGTGTTGATCTTAGTTGGTTAGCTTCCTGAACCTTCTGCTCTTGACTGAGTCTTGGTTGTTCCTAGGTCGAGACCAGATTCTAATATCTCTTTATCTGTGCCTCACAGGAATCCTCGTGAAGCTCTGGATGAGCTAAACCTCTTGTCTCCTCGTGAAGCTCTGGATGAGCTAAACCTCTTGTCTCCTCGTGAAGCTCTGGATGAGCTTAACCTCTTGTCTCCTCGTGAAGCTCTGGATGAGCTTAACCTCCTGTCTCCTCGTGAAGCTCTGGATGAGCTTAACCTCCTGTCTCCTCGTGAAGCTCTGGATGAGCTTAACCTCCTGTCTCCTCGTGAAGCTCTGGATGAGCTTAACCTCCTGTCTCCTCGTGAAGCTCAGGAAGAGCACCCTCACTGGAACCCAGTCTCTGGTCTGCAGCTCTGGAGGAGCTGCATCTCAGGAAACCAGTTTCAAGCCTAAAGCTCTAGGAGAGTTAACCAGCTAATCTGCCCTGGTGAGCCACCCCAAGAATCCTACGTGGATGCTACCTGTCGACTTCCCTGTGGAGTTTCCCCAAGAGGTTCCCATGTGGATTTCCCCTGTTGTTTCCCTGCAGTGAGCTGGAACCTCAGCTATCAGCCATCTCCCTTTCCCTGCTCAGACCCCAGTGAACCAGCCCCCTGCCTGAACTGTTATTCACGTGCTTGTGCCTTAAAATAAACTCTTTGGACTTTTTACCAGTGCCTCTGTGTGTGTTCTGCATCTTGGGCTTTACTCTAAGAGAACCCATCATGACAGAACACTGCGGCCACACAAAGCCCAGCAGATCACCTCCGTCGTAGAACTGAGAAACTGGACGCTCTGACTCCTGATCACACACAGTCCCTCCGTGAGTTAAAATCCCAGTTTTACTTTAAGAAAACACACGTTTCAAGATCCCACAGGCTTCGTGGGAATCACAAGATGGCGCCAGTTCAACTTCCGGTTCCGGTTTCGTCACTTCCGGAATTCCGCACGTCACCCCCGAGTCAAGATGATAACCCTCCTTTCTATTCTGAGCTCAGTCCGTCGTTTTCGTCACCTGGTCCTTCACTTCCTGAGAGATTTTCTGGCAACCCACGTAAGCTAAGGGGATTTCTATTTCAGTGTCGGTTATTTTTCAGTTTTCATTCTACTAGCTTTCTTAATGATAAGGATAAGATTGCTTTTGTAGTTTCTTTTCTGTCTGATGAGGCCCTTGAATGGGCAGAGACAAAATTTCCGCTCAAAACCAGAAAGAACCACACATATGAGAGATTCATCCGAGAATTAGAAAGAACCTTTAGCCAGTCCTCTAGTTTCTCCGTTTCCAGTTACCTTCTGAATTTTAAACAGGGTATTAGGTCCGTAGCTGAATGTTCTTCCGAGTTCCTGGGTAGAGCAGCCGTTTCTGGTTGGAACGAGTCTGCACTCAAGTCCGCTTTCCTCTTAGGTCTTAATGAATCTGTCAGAACCGAGCTTTCCTTTTACGTCGAGCCACCTAGCCTCGAAGACCTCATTGAACTAGCCATAGGATTAGATCTAGCATATCAAACCAGTTTCAACTCCTCTCCGTGCCGGTTTAGCCTTAGTTCCCATGTTCTTGACCACCATTTAAGTTCATCCGTTAAAAACCTCAAAATTAGTCCACCAGTTTCACGTCCATCAGTCAGAGTTCCACGCCAGCCAGATTCTGATCCTGAACTAGTAATTAACCCGGATAGTTTTAAACCTGACCCCGTGCCTGATCCCTTAGCTTCTGATCATGTTATTCATTCTGGTACCCTCACGTTTCAACCGGTTTATTTATCGCCAAATCCAATCAGTGAACCCGTCAGTTTAACTTCTAAGACCCCCCGATGTAAGAGACGGCGTCGCCGTAAGCACGCTCTGAGCCGGCTAGAAACCCCTGAGTTAGCCCTGTGCCGTCCAGTGACCCCTAAGTTAGCCCTGTGCCGTCCAGTGACCCCTGAGTTAGCCCTGTGCCGTCCTGAGACCCCTGAGTTAGCCCTGTGCCGTCCTGAGACCCCTGAGTTAGCCCTATGCCGTCCTGAGACCCCTGAGTTAGCCCTGTGCCGTCCTGAGACCCCTGAGTTAGCCCTATGCCGTCCTGAGACCCCTGAGTTAGCCCTGTGCCGTCCTGAGACCCCTGAGCATACATTTAAGAGAACTTCAGAATTTTGTGTTGGTGAAAGTGTGCCTCCAAGAGTCCCTCAGCGAAGGCCTCTAATCACCAGGGACCCTCCACCGACGCCCCAAGCCACCTCAGAGACTGAACTTGAGCCTCCATGGGTGATCCCTTCGTTTCCAGAGGTGGAACCACAGTCGGTGGTCCCACCTGCTCCTGCTCCTGAACCGCAGTCGGCGGCCTCTTCAGAGCCTCCTCCAGAGCCGCACTCGATGGTCTCCCCAGAGCCTCCTTCAGAGCCGCACTCGACGGTCTCCCCAGAGCTTCCTTCAGAGCCGCACTCGACGGTCTCCCCAGAGCCTCCACCAGAGCCGCAGTCGGCGTTCTCCTCAGAGCCTCCTCCTGTTTCTGAGCTGCCGAGGAGGGGACGGGGTACCCCGTGGGGATACCTGTTGAAGCTTGGGCGTCATCCTCCTGATAAGCTGCTTCACCTCCGGCCCCACGGCAGACCTCCAGAGCGTCAGCTTCGCCTCCGGCCCCGCGGCAGACCCCCGGAGCATCATCTTCACCGTCGACCCCGTGGCAGACCCCCAGTGTGTCAGCGTCGCCTTCGACCCCGCTGCCGGCCTCCTGAACCTCAACCTTGTCTCCGGCTCGGCGGTGGTTCCCCTAAGACGCTGCTCCACCTTCATCACAACGGTCGACCTCCTGAGCAGCAACTACGCCTCCGCCATCGGCCCCACGGCAGGCCACCTGAGACTGTGTCCTGCAGCCGGCCCCACGGCAGGCCACCTGAGACTGTGTCCTGCAGCCGGCCCCACGGCAGGCCACCTGAGACTGTGTCCTGCAGCCGCCCCCACGGCAGCCCACCTGGGACTGTGTCCTGCTGCCGGTCCCTCGGCCGGTCACCTGAGAATCTGTCCCGCTGCCGGTCCCTCGGCCGGCCACCAGAGACTGTGCCCAAGAAAGTTTTTGGGTTTTCTTTTGCTGTCGTCCACCATAAGTGGATAGTTTTTTGTTCTGGACTCTGTTTTTGTTTTCTGCCCTCCTGGCCTGTTTCCCCCTTCGCCCACCCTGGGTGGGTTGTTTTTTGTTTGTTGGACCTTTTTTTCTGTTGGTTCTGGCCCTCCTCGCCCCAGTGTCCCCTCCGCCCACCCTGAGTGGGTTGTTTTTTGTTGTTTTTTGGACTTTTTTTTTTCAGGGGGCGTCTGGAATCCGCCCTTGAGGGGGGGGCTCTGTAGGGATCCTCAGGCTTGCCCACCAGAGGACACAGAGGATCCTCTTCTGCTCTCTTTGTTTTTCCCTTAGGTTTGGAGTTACTGTGGGGATCTGGAGATTACCCTCTGTCTCCAGCAGGATGCGCTGTGGGTCTTCTGGAGCTGTAACTTTCCTGCACACCTGTTCCTAATCCTCTCATTAGAAGACCTCTCCTTTATAAGCTCCTGCCTGACCTTGATCCCACGCCGCAGTGTTGATCTTAGTTGGTTAGCTTCCTGAACCTTCTGCTCTTGACTGAGTCTTGGTTGTTCCTAGGTCGAGACCAGATTCTAATATCTCTTTATCTGTGCCTCACAGGAATCCTGTCTCCTCGTGAAGCTCTGGATGAGCTTAACCTCCTGTCTCCTCGTGAAGCTCTGGATGAGCTTAACCTCCTGTCTCCTCGTGAAGCTCAGGAAGAGCACCCTCACTGGAACCCAGTCTCTGGTCTGCAGCTCTGGAGGAGCTGCATCTCAGGAAACCAGTTTCAAGCCTAAAGCTCTAGGAGAGTTAACCAGCTAATCTGCCCTGGTGAGCCACCCCAAGAATCCTACGTGGATGCTACCTGTCGACTTCCCCGTGGAGTTTCCCCAAGAGGTTCCCATGTGGATTTCCCCTGTTTCCCTGCAGTGAGCTGGAAGCTCAGCTACCAGCCATCTCCCTTTCCCTGCTCAGACCCCAGTGAACCAGCCCCCTGCCTGAACTGTTATTCATGTGCTTGTGCCTTAAAATAAACTCTTTGGACTTTTTACCAGTGCCTCTGTGTGTGTTCTGCATCTTGGGCTTTACTCTAAGAGAACCCATGCGAAGTGTTATGTGCACAGTGTGTTTTCTAAACAAAAACAAGGCTTTGTTGGGCCACTCTATAAAACCTGGAACTCAACACTATTTCTGACATTTTGAATTGAAAAAGCTGTCATGTTTCTGTTTCTGTTATGTTTTTCTTTTGAGTATTCAGTCTTACTTTACTTGTTTTCTGGTGTTTTGTCTTCTTTTCTCCATGCTTTATAGTCCTAGTAATTTAATTATCATTTTGTTATTTCCAGTCTTCCAGGTTTTTTATTTGTTGCTCTCTGCTGCCCTCTTATGTTCTCCTTCTTCCCCAGCTCTTTCCCTCTCTTGTTCTGTGCACAGCTGCTCCCAGTTTCCTCATTAGCCCCCTCTTTGTCTCAGTCTCCTTTAAAAGCCCTCTCTCTCTCTTCAGTTCCCCTTTGCTGGGTCCTCGTCAAACTCCGTCAAACATGCTCCTACTCCTTCTGTCTGAGCCTTCCTCCTTATGATTGTGATTCCCCTGATGTTTCCATGGTTTCTGGTACGTTTAGACTAGTTTTGATTTTTGGATAACCTGCCTTTGTTTTCTGTTAACTCATTATTAAATCCACAAGAGATTCACCTCTGCCTCCCTGCCTCTGCTTTTGAGTCAACTAACCATAGCCAATTCGTGACAAAAGCTTCCTGGATGGGAAGCGAAACGTCTTCAAACTTATAAACAAAGTCCAGAGGATTGTTTTTTTAACTTTTTTGTTACATAAGCATGTCAGATAAACACCTTAGATAGACACATGCACACGTCACAACACACTTGAACACATTTTTGGCACAAATGGAACCTCCAACTTTCCATGGTGTTGATTCCTGTCACTATGCCTCGGACTGATGATACGCCTTCGCTACTTGGCCAGTGTGCATTACTGTCATCTGGGAGTCTGGGGGTTGAATCACACATGCGCCCTCTGTTCAGTTCCTTGCCACATGAAGATCATCAGAAATATTCTTTATCTTATAATACTTAGGATAATTACCATTGAAGATGTGTGAGTTTATTCCACCTTAATATTAGCTGACTGTTGCGTGTCAGAACTGATGTTTTCGCCAATAGTTTATTAAATTAAGACAGTTTCTCTGTCCGGATATAAAAGTTATAATCCTTATCCTGTATGTGGCAAATATTTGGGAATGGAATGAGAGCGGCGTTCTTCAGCTAAGAACAAAGTGTAATATTTGTCTCACATTTGTTGTCATCATGGATGTCTCCTCATCTGCTAACGTGTACGATGGAACAATGTGATGATGGGTAGACTGACGTATAAAATACTTCTTTACCTACTTCCTGAAAAGTGAGCCTTGTTGGTAAACAGCTGCCTTCTGTAAGTTATGAAGTGTTATTTAAAGAGTTTGTCCCGAGTGATCTCTTTCCAGGAAAACGAACCAGAGAGAGAAACTTTCCAGGTGTAAACACAGAGCATGCCTTTAACATATCCTATCCACGTTCACATCAATACATATCTGCAGCTGATGTACAATACATGCAGACCTGATGAAGGGTTTGACGAGTGTGATCATAGCTTTGATGTACCAAGCAGGATGGACAACCAATAGTCCCTTCAGGTCCTTCTTCAACCTGGATAGAAAGCACACTGATTTCCACCTCTGTCATGTTTTAACGTACCACCTGAGTATTAGGAATGGTAAACGCTTTCACAGATAAATAGTAATGTTTATAGCAGTCTTTTCTGATAATCTGCCAGTGCTGCTCTGCTAAAAGAAACCATTACCTTCTGTCAATAGAGGTGTAGCACTGGTGGAGCCATTTGATGGCTGGAAGTTTGTTTCTGGGAGCCATTGCACACAGGTAGACCAGCACATAATTCTCCGAAACCATCAGGTCCAAAGTACCTACAATATATCTGCAAGGAAGACCAGAGGTGTGTTACATGTGAGTACAGGTGGAATTTAGTGATGTTGTGTTTCAGTGGTACAGACCCAAACTCACCTGAACAGGTTTTCCATCACATACTCGTAGTTCTCCACTGTATTCTCTGGCAGGTAACATGAAGTGAACAGAATTATGGCATTCATCCCATCTCCATAGTAACCTGCAAATGACATCTATTTTAGATTATCTTCATTGCTCTAACTCACTAGGCCGACACTCTCCCCAAAATAAAGCCCGGTCTGTTTACAGTTCGGACTGCAGCAGCTGATCTTGACCGAGGACATTATTGAATGGTGGAAGGACAGATTTAAGGATCTCCTCAACATGGATTTCATGCCTTTCTCTGGTGGAAATAAAGACCAAGTGCCTGGAGTCAAACTTGTTCGACCACCAAGGTATTCAAAAAAGGCTTTTTAGGTTGATAGCTCTGAGTATTTAAGGTTTCTTGAGGTTAACACACATGTTCAATATTGTCTTCCTACTAGGGACAGTGTCACTGGACTGGCAGACTGAGGTAAACTTCTCTGCATCGATGGGAAGGACGATGCCAGGGTGCTGGCAAACCTTTGCTTCAGAAGGAGCATTGAGGTCTTTGTCCTGGCCATTCTACACTAGACCAGCTTTGCACACTGTGAGGATGCTTTAGTGGTCATGGGAGTTTGCCCAACTGGTCCTGTGATTAGTAGACCTACAGAAGGCATTTGTTATAGTCTCTGGACCAGAGTCTTTGAAAAATAAGCTGATTAGCCAGTCACTTCATTTGGATGGGATTAAACTGATTTCAGATAATAAAGTAAAAAATCTTGGTGCTGTTTTTTATCAGGACCTGTCATTTAAATTCCATATCAAAGAGGTTTCTATATTGCAAAAATTAGAAATATCCTGTCCAGGGGTGTTGCTGAGAAACTAGTCCATGCATTTGTTACTTCAAGGCTGGACTATTGTAATTCTTTACTATCAGGAAGTCCACAAACTGTAGTTAAAAGCCTTCAGCTGATCCAAAATGCTGCAGCCAGAGTTCTGATGAAAATGAAAAAGAGAGATCATATCTCTCCTATCCTGGCTTCTCTTCATTGGCTTCCTGTTAAATCCAGAATAGAATTTAAAATCCTCCTTCTCACATATAAAGCCTTAAATGGCCAAGCTCCATCTGATATCAGAGATCTGATTGTTCCTTATGTTCCTAACAGAGCACTTCGCTCTCAATCTGCAGGTTTACTAGTGGTTCCTAGAATTTCTAAAAGTAGAATGGGAGGCAGATCTTTTAGTTATCAGGCTCCTCTCCTGTGGAACCAACTACCAGTTTTAGTCTGTGAGGCAGACACCCTGTCTACTTTTAAGGCTAGGCTTAAAACTTTCCTTTTTGATAAAGCTTCTGGTTAGAGTGGCTCAGGTTATGCTGAACTATCTCAATAGTTATGCTGCTGTAGGAATAGACTGCTGGAGGACATAGGGACCCCTTTTTCATCATTCTGTTTCATTCTATCTCTATTCTCCCACTCTGCAGAATCTGTTAGTTCAATCTCTAACATTTTGCCATTACTTTTATGGACAGGGTTTCTAGGAGGGGATTTGCTTTGGGAATCAGCTGATTTTGTCTCTGTTTTTTGCAGATGATTTGGTTATGCTGTCTTCCTCCAGGCAAGACTTAAAGCATGTGCTGGGGCACTTAGCAGTCAAGTGCAAAGCAGCTGGGATAAACATCAGCTTTTCCAAGTCTGAGAATGAGTGGAAGACACACAATTTGATACGACTGCCACCATTATGCAAAGGCTGCACAGATTTGTTTTGAAGAGAGAGCTGAAATTTGCATCACGACCAAAAGACAGGATCTTGGATACAACTGACTAAAATAAGCTCCCTCCACTGGGAGGCCTGATTCTCTCCTAGAGCTAAGATAAAGAGGTTCCCACATTTGTTCTGGATGGATGAGCAGGCGTTCCAGGCACGTTCCTTCTGGAGGAGGCCTAGGAACAGTTGGAGGAACTATGTCTCTGGGCTGGGAATGGCGCACCTCAGGTTTCTCCTAGAGGAGCTGGAGGAGGTGTCTGGGGTGAAGAAAGTCTGGACCCCTGCTACCGAGTCTCTAATCAGTGGAAGATCAAGAGTATGAGTGTTACACGTTTGTTTATTATGTTACACAGGTGTTTTATGCGCTGCAGCATTGTTTGAGTGCTTTTTATGTTACATCTATGTTACAGTTGTGTTAGATGTGTCATACGTGTATTGCATTTAATTACTAAAGTGAACTACAGTTGTCTTTCCTGCTGTTAGGTTTATTCAATGATGATTATAAAATTAATGTGTGTTTATGAAACATTTTTGCAAGGCGATGCTCCACTCCTGTCTCATGATTCAGTCAGGAGACCGTCCTGCCTGGTCATTCTGATGGAGCATCCTGTCTTCGTGAACTGATCAATTGTTCTGTCAGAACAATACTCTGTTTGTAACCATGCGCTATGTTCTGTTAATAAACGCTCTGCAGAGGAAGTCCAGTGGGAGACAGTGTGTTTGAGTCTGGGGTTCAACTGTCTCTCTTTCCTGCAGGAATTGTATCCATAAATTGTGTATTTCAGTTCTTCATAAGAAAAAACCTACATTTTATGAACCCGACACCTGCTTTAAACGTTTTTGAAGATCTATACTTCAACACTGTGTCCTGTTTCCTCTGTTTATTCATATGTTACAGGTCATTTGCAGGTGTGTTATATGTGAAGGTGTCACCCTCTAACCTCCATGTGATAGAACCTGCAGGTACGGCTCTAGCACGCTCATGTTGACATGGTACTCGTGCCCAGAGATAGAGAACCTCCTCCAGCGGCGTCCCTGTTCATCCAACTGATCAAGCTCCATCAGACCTTCGCTTGGTTCCACGGGGGTTCCCGCAATGCCCGTAGATCTGCCCTTCCCCATCCTTGGAAGGTCATCTGTCAGAAAGAGGTGAGAGGTCAACTCTGAACATTAGCCTAGCTATTTTAGATCCACTTCCTAGTGTCTCACCTTCCCACTCTAGATCGTACATACTGTCCGGCAGTGTTCCTGTCTCACTGTCCGATGGCGTCTCCAGAGCCTCCAAGTTGATGTCGAGTGATGGTGTCTCGTCTGGAGTCCCTGATAGCGCTGCGGCTGAGAAGCTGTCGTTGTTTGGGTCATGAGGATCTCGCTGGCTCAGAGTGAGACTAAGAGATGGAGCTGCTAGACGCTTCTTGCCCCCAAATCCACCAGCAGCTGACGATGTAAGGTCACTGGATGGGGCTAAGGCTGAGCAGGACGAGTGGTGGATCAGAACCCAGTCACTAAGAATCTCCTTTCATTACCTTAACTTTAACAGCTTTGGATGTTTTAATGGAAAAGTCCAGTTATATCCAGAATTCAAACTTCTGAAAGTTCTTTAAATATAAAATTATTCCATCCTGTTCAATAAATGATCAGTGTTTTCAATTCAGAGTAATTTTCATGTGAATGTGCTTTACTGGAGGCATCCATGTTTGTCAAAGAACACTACTGCCACCTACTGGTTTGTGACGTCACGGTGCGGTATCGGCTGTTGATCAAGTCCCAGTGCTGTATCTGGTGTTTATCACAACGCGCTATTATCCAAGTCATCTTGAAAACATTTTTCTTCCAAATGTTGGCTACATATTACGGGTTTTTTCTCTGGCCAGAAGTTCGATGGCAAATCCTCCCTCTTCAAGTTGGCGATCCAAAGACCAACCCGTCCGTGGAGGATCAGGAATCAGAAAGGTGGAATAACTCTTTTTTTTTCACTTTTACCCGATGTATTCCAGCATCCAGCTGCCATGCACGTGGGCATTGTCAGTTTCACTATAGCTCTGGTGAATTTCAATGGTGAAGTCCTCTGGAAATCTTCAATAATTGTTGTTGATTGCAGATGTGTCTAGTAGTTCCCATTGATTTAGCTTGGAAAGCGGGGAGAATGGCGCTAGGCTTACCGCACCGTGACGTCACTGCTGGAAGATGGCAGGAGGGAGGGGTTACTATGTTTGGGCAAAAATGGCCGCTCCCAGACTCAGTGATTGATATCTAAATTCATTAAATCACCACAGAGGTACTAGTTTTAGGTATAGATGATGATGATAATGATAATGATGAATTGGTTATTCCAGGCTGACAGGACTTTTCCTGTGAGCATTTACTGAGTCCTGCATTTGACTCTCTCAACTTACAGGCACACCTGAGAATAAGACGCACTTTTAGCTGGAGTATACATAACTAAAATAAATAAAGAAAAGCCCTAAAGTTATTGGGTCCAAATGCAAAGTTTTAGTACCAGACTAATGCTCTGACTTAAAATAATATTTGTCTAGAGGAACCAATACGGCAACTGCTACTATGTCTGATTCATTTGCAATTTAAATTACAAAAGAAAGAAATTTGAGCCTAGGCTTGAAATGCATTTGAAAACCAAGAAGAAACCTCAGATGTTATAAATAAGCATCATAATTAGAACTGTATGTTTGATTATCAAATTAGCCAACTGTGCAAAAATGGCCAAAAATGTGTTTTTCACCTCGTAAAAGAGAATCTGGTCAAATAAAAGTAGGAGAGATTTAGGAGAGTTGCAATAATTGTTGGAATAATTATTTTTAGTTCATTTAGAATCCTGCTATATTATACAGGTGCTGGTCATAAAATTAGAATATCAAGAAAAAGTAGATTGATTTCAGTAATTCCATTTAAAAAGTGAAACTTGTATATTATATTCATACATTACATACAAACTCATATATTTCAGATGTTTATTTTGTTTAATTTTGATGATTACAAATGACAACAAATGAAAATCTCAAATTCATCATATCAGAAAATTAGAATATTACTGAAGACCAATAAAAACAAAGGATTTATAGAAATGTTGGCCAACTGAAAAGTATGAACATGAAAAGTATGAGCATGTACAGCACTCAGTATTTAGTTGGGCCTCCTTTGGCCTGTATTACTGCAGCAATGCGGCGTGGCATGGAGTCGATCAGTCTGTGGCACTGCTCAGGTGTTATGATAGCCCAGGTTGCTCTAATAGTGGCTTTTAGCTCTTCTGAATTGTTGGGTCTGGTGTATTGCATCTTCTTCTTCACAATACCCCATAGATTTTCTATGGGGTTAAGGTCAGGAGAGTTTGCTGGCCAATTAAGAACAGGGATACCATGGTCCTTCAACCAGGTACTGGTAGCTTTGGCACTGTGTGCAGGTGCCAAGTCCTGTTGGAAAATGAAATCTGCATCTCCAAAAAGTTGGTCAGCTGCAGGAAGCATGAAGTGCTCTAAAACTTCCTGGTATGTGGCTGCGTTGACCCTGGACCTCAGAAAACACAATGGACCAACACCAGCAGATGACATGGCACCCCAAACCATCACTGACTGTGGAAACTTTACACTGGACTTCAAGCAACGTGGATGAAGTGCCTCTCTTCTTTTCCTCCAGACTCTGGGACCTTGATTTCCAAAGGAAATGCAAAATTTACTTTCATCAGAGAACATGACTTTGGACCACTCACCAGCAGTCCAGTCCTGTTTCTCTTTAGCCCAGGCAAGACGCTTCTGACGCTGTCTGTGGTTCAAGAGTGGCTTGACACAAGGAATGCGACAGCAGAAACCCATGTCTTTCATACGTCTGTGTGTGGTGGTTCTTGAAGCACTCACTCCAGCTGCAGTCCACTCTTTGTGAATCTCCCCCACATTTTTGAATGGGTTTTGTTTCACAATCCTCTCCAGGGTGCGGTTATCTCTCTTGCTTGTACACTTTTTTCGACCACATCTTTTCCTTCCCTTCGCCTCTCTATTAATGTGCTTGGACACTGAGCTCTGTGAACAGCCAGCCTCTTTGGCGATGACCTTTTGTGTCTTGCCCTCCTTGTGCAAGGTGTCGATGGTCGTCTTTTGGACAACTGTCAAGTCAGCAGTCTTCCCCATGATTGTGTAGCCTATAGAACTAGACTGAAAGACCATTTAAAGGCTTTTGCAGGTGGTTTGAGTTAATTAGCTGATTAGAGTGTGGCACCAGGGGCCATCAATTTTGAACCTTTTCACAATATTCTAATTTTCTGATATGATGAATTTGAGATTTTCATTTGTTGTCATTTGTAATCATCAAAATTAAACAAAATAAACATCTGAAATATATGAGTTTGTATGTAATGTATGAATATAATATACAAGTTTCACTTTTTAAATGGAATTACTGAAATCAATCTACTTTTTCATGATATTCTAATTTTATGACCAGCACCTGTATTGATGCAGGAAATGCTCAGTTAGACCCTAAATTCACCAGCAGAACAGAAGATACACCATATTGTAAGTTTATTGGGAAAAAAGGATTTTGAGGTGTTAAAATATTTTGATCAGGTTATTTTTCAGTTCTGAATATTTTTATGAATTAATAACAATTATGTATGATGCTGGCTGCATTAGGTTTGGAGCTAATTATTTACACATGCGGGAAGTAAATCTGACTCATGGGGGAGGAAAGTCCATTACTTTATTTATTTAATAAATTAATTAATTAATTAATTGATTTATTCATCTAGAGAGGTTTAATGATTTTTTTATGAAAATCAATAGGAGTTAAATGCATTTATATACATTTATGTACATATATAATATACATACATATATATATATATATTTTTTTTCTTTTATACATAAATTATATATATGTGTATCTAATAATCCAGTTTAGTTAAGTTTTATAGATGTTACAAATTCTCAGAATACACTTATTGAGAATAAAAAAGGACGTTTTGTAATAATAACACTATAATAATGCTGATTTCATATCGAATATTGTGAATAAAACTGTCATTTTTTATCTAATTCTAAAATCCTGTGGGCAATTATCAGACAGGATAAGTTTGATATATAAATAAATGGTTGGTGCCGACCCAATCATCTCGGCGTGATACTAATTTCCATTTTAGCATTGTTTCTGCAAGTTAAACTGTCTTTGTTCATAACATTTAAAACATCTAAATGTACCATTGTGCAGAACAGAAAAAAAAAATAAAACTAGATTAGTTGAATTAGATAATTTTGTCTTTAAATAGAGGAGTCAGAGCTTTTTAAAACAAACATAACCAGTTTAATTAACTGGGAACAAATCAGGAGGTAAAAGCTGACCAGTCAATCTCACTTAAACAAGCTGCAGCATCATTTTCTGGAAAAAGCTTGTGTCTCAAGTAATTATGTTTTAATATAAGCTCTAAACAAAACTATAAATATAGGATATAATTTTAAGAAGGCATGCAATGGAAAGCTGCTGATAACTATTTAGTTCCATTAAAAAAATCTCATCTTAGTTTCCTCAGTTTTTGTTTTACCTTAGTGTCCCATATGAGTGTTAGAGAATGGAAACTACTCCTAAATTGATAAAACATTGTTTGTAAAATGCTTCAATCATACATTGATCTACTAAATTTTATATATATATTTTTACCTGACTCAGATCCACCTCCTGCTTGACTCTCAGCATCCTCTGTACCTCCACAGTCCTCTGGGAGCGGCCTGAAACATTGGGAAAAAACAGAAATAGATCAAAGTCCCATCTGTGTCCATGAAACAAAGAAAATTCTTAATCTTTTTCAAATAGGAAGTAAGTTTTGCATTATAGCTCCACAGAAATAGTTCACCTTTGGCACATTGGATCTACAGCAGTTTGTTAAGGCTCTGATTCCACCTTAAATTCTCACCTGGATCATCAGTTTTCTATTTCCTCAGTCTGTTACAGAGAGGCTCTGACCTGACTGATGACATCACATACTAGACGTCTTCGGACCTCAAGCCTTCCAGCATGATGGCAGAGACAAAATCTTGTCTTCTCAGGACTTAACCTTGTTTTTTTCATCCTTAAATATTGAAATATTGGGTAGAGTGGAAATTGTGTGCAACTGGTGTCATTTGTCTTTGCAGACCGGATGAGATGCTGTATCTCTATTGTCTACCCCCAGTGATAAGCCCCGGGACCTTGCTAACAGCTAATCAGTCAGTAATCCCTGGTGGGTTGAAGTTGAGAGTATGTGCATCTAAACGGTCTGAGAGAAGTTATCATACCTACGGGACAAAGCCCCCAGTCAATCTGTTCATTAACACGGGAAATGTGAGATTCCTTCCAGACATTTTGGAGGAATTAGCGGCACTAAACCAGCATCAGAGGGCCTGCAGGGAAAGCAACCTGTTGATAACCTGACTCCGCCAGATGGATTTGCTCCGCATATCCATCTGGAAACCTTCCGTTGAAGTGATTTTGGGAAGGGGCGAAAATACTGGTTAGCTGATTGGCCTATGTTGGTGATAGACGGGCCAAATAAACCAATCAGATCAACGAAGCATATGACGTACTAACAGAGCGACGACGAAGAGGAGCCAATTGATAGATCAAAGTCTTGCTGAAACCAGTCGGGAGAAGAGCAAAAACATCTTTTCCTCTGAGAAAAGCCTCCAGAGCAGTGTTTTGCTCTTCTTTCAGTGAAGAAATACTCTGTAATTCCGATAAAACTTGCTCGATAGCCACGCTAACGCTAGTTTCATCGGCTGAAGCCGCCATGTTCTTTAGACTGAACTGTCGCGCTTCTCTTTGCGTCACACCTCAACCCGCCTCAAAGCCAACGCTGATTGGACGTTCGTTTGGTGAACAGCTCCAAATTTTCTTTAATGGAGAGTCTCCAGACTGATCTGCGAGTGAAACCTTGAAAGCTCGCGAGATCAAGATGGTCTCACGAGGCTAACCTGTTGATGCCAACCAAAACCTGGCTAACAGCGCTAACTTTGGACACGGATTGCTTGCATCTACTGGAAAAGTTGTTGGTTTTTTTTGCTATGTTTGTAAAAAAACAGACGGAGCATCTTTGGACATGTAAGAATTAAATAGACCCTATGCAGTAAAGTTACGTAGCTGCTAGCTGTATAGACAGTTTCTAACCTGCTATGGATGTCTTTATCTGCAAACATTTTTACGTCTGTTTGCATTTCTCCTTTTTTTTTACCTGCTCTAGAAACGTTTTTCTACAATTTTGTTTTTTCGCACATTTTTCACTTTCTTGCTTTGAACTGGCTGCTTTTTTTTTCTATTTCTAACTTTTACAATTCTTATCTATGTCTATCAATAACTGGACGGTAGCTTCTTTTTCTATGTCTGCTTCTGTCTCCTTGAACCCCAGTGGGCCTCAACAGATGGCCGCTCACACTGAGCCTGGTTCTGCTGGAGGTTTCTTCCTGTTCAAAGGGAGTTTTTCCTCTCCACTGTCGCTACAAGCATGCTTAGTGTGAGGGATTGCTGAAGAGTCAATGAGTCGATGCAATCAGCTGGTTTTCCTTAGATAGAAAATGTTGAATCAATCTGACTGGATGATCTGGTGAACTGGAAAGTGACCTGAGATGACATGTGTTGTAAATCGGCGCTATAGAAATAAACTGAATAGAATTTAATTGTTTTTTCCTTCCTAAGAGACTTTATTTTTCTCTTTTGCAGTACAGTTTAACGTTTAATATCACTCAGTTGTGTTTGTACCCGGTAAGCTTTCATTTGTCTCCTAGTTATTCTACTGTCACACCTGACTCTCCCCAGTATGGAACAAAAAATTTTTTTTCATATATTTTTGGAGCTGATAGGAACTATTGATGATCATCAGAGTCCAAATTCTGATGCTGATGGAGGCGTTTATGGGTTTAATGAAGGGGACTCCTACCTGGGGAACCCATCATCCTGCCACTCCTCCCTCAGCTCCATGTCCTGAATGTTGTCGGGCTCCGGGGCCTCGGCAGCAGCCCTGCAGGGGGCCAGAAACACTGTTAAAATATGGGAGTGAATTTAGTATAAAAACAACTAGTCAGGAAGCTAATGTCACAGAAACCCCCACCATCGTTGGCTTGTTTCTGCTACGTATTCAGCCCGTTGACAAGAGTTCAGAACCAAACACATCTAAACATGTTTTACCCAAAAATAGTTTCCTTAAAATAACATTTTCTCTCTCATTGTCTCAAACAGTAAGTGGTAAATAAATCAGACTAACTAGGTTTCCTCCTGTCGATGAATCCATCAGCTACATTCTTTCTGTCAGATTTTAATGATTGGTTCTTAAATAAACAGCTTAAACATTTATGAAAACATCATTGAGTCCCCACAAGCCTGTAAAAGACTCTGCAGAGGTCCAGTAGTTATGGTTGGACTGGTCCTGTCTGTCCTCACTGAAGACAGAAGGGGCTTTTTAGAAATCAAAGTGCTAGAGGGGTCTGAAAAGTGGCTAAATATAGCGACTAAAGCGCTAAGTTGGCAACACTGCTCTTTGCATGGTTTGTTTTCAAATGGTTTGCTGCTGTCTGTTTGGACCTTTCTGAACATGTGCAGCAAATGGACTGATCCAATATGGTGGACACTGAAGGCGGGGGCTGAGACACACCTAATATTATCAGGGTTGTATGATAAAAAACTGATTACTGCTAGAATTGATTTTTGTGTATTGTCTCCACAGGTCTGCCTAGAAAGTAGATCATAGAGCTGCAGCTGATCCAGATGTTGCTGCCTGCGTCCTCACTAGAACTAAGAAAGTAGAGAACATCAACCCAGTTCTAAAGTCCTTCTTCTGGCTCCCTGTATCTCAGAGAATAGACTTTAAAATCCTCAAAGATTACATTACGGACTGGTTGGCAGTGAGTCGACAGCCAGACCTCTAAGGTCTACTGTATCAGATCTACTTCGCAGAACCAGAACCAAACACGGAGAAGAAGCTTTTAGTTCTTATTCTACGTAATCTGCAATAAACTCAGAGAAACTGTAAAAGAGCTGAAAACCTCAGTTGCTTTAAATCAAGATTTGTTTACAGGCCTTTGACTGAGCTATGTAAACATTATTCAAGTTTCAACTCTCATAATTTGATCAATAATTGTATCAGTTTTTAAATATGAAAACCAAGACATCCAGTAGTTAGGGTTGGACCGGTCCTGTCTGTCCTCACTGAAGACATCAAGGGCATTCTTCCACAGAGGGACAGATTTTGCAGTCAAAGAGAAAGGTGCAGTCAGGTGACTGGTCCGCAGGTGAGACGCTTCCCCTCAGCGTGCATCGGAGAAAGCTGCACAGGCTGTTTTTCTGGGGAAATGTCACCCAGCAGGATCTGATGGAACCGGCCTGACTGCTCCCACTGACACACCTGAGCAGGTGAAGAGGGGTGGGGCTCATTGTTCTTATTGTTGTTAAGCCCACACACCCAGCCGGGTAACTGCATCTGTGTGTTGACAGTTCACATTTCCTTCATGCTGCCTTTAGGGTCCAGTCGGGAAAAGCAAACCTGACCTGAGGGGGGCGTCCCAGGTTCAAACCCCTGGGAGACTGTCAACATGCTACTTTACTATGGAGAGAAATTTGTTCCAACATCATTGAAAGCAAAGAATATGTTTCAAGAATGGAAATAAAAAAATTATTTAAAAATGGGACTCAGGAAAACCTCATTCTGATGATCTCCTTTCAGCAGGTTGGAGGAATTAGCTTGTTGTCAGAAAAAACAACTTCCTGGAAGTTAAAGGAAGGATCTTAATTGATAATCTAGATGTTAATCTGCACACTCCTGTCCAGGGGCCTCAGAAGACTCCAGATTCTCTGGAGGAGGAGGCATCGTGACTGAGGTTGGAAGGAAAACTATTCTGAGATCTTCTGGAAAATGTCTCAGCAGAATTGTTTAGATCCTCCTCTGGTTCCTCATACAGTAGCAGCCATTCAAAATGGCTCCTTCCCAGTCAAACGGCAGCCAACTTCCAGCCACTGAGTCACCCCCTCCTTCTCCTAACCTGACCCGCATATCCATCTGGAAACCTTCGGTTGAAGTAATTTTGGGAAGGGGCGAAAATACTGGTTAGCTGATTGGCCTATGTTGGTGATAGACGGGCCAAATAAACCAATCAGATCAACGAAGCATATGACGTACTAACAGAGCAACGACGAAGAGGAGCCAATTGATAGATCAAACTCTTGCTGAAACCAGTCGGGAGAAGAGCAAAAACATCTTTTCCTCTGAGAAAAGCCTCCAGAGCAGTGTTTTGCTCTTCTTTCAGTCAAGAAATACTCTGTAATTCCGATAAAACTTGCTCGATAGCCACGCTAACGCTAGTTTCCTCGGCTGAAGCCGCCATGTTCTTTAGACTGAACTGTCGCGCTTCTCGTTGCGTCACACCTCAACCCGCCTCAAAGCCAACGCTGATTGGACGTTCGTTTGGTGAACGGCTCCAAATTTTCTTTAACGGAGAGTCTCCAGACTGATTAGCGAGTGAAACCTTGAAAGCTCGTGAGATCAGGATGGTCTCACGAGGCTAGCGTTCTCCTGGGTGTGCATATTTTTTTACTCTGACTCCACAGTTTCACTGAATTACAGGGTCTGACCAGGAGATGATGCTTCTCTTTGGACCTTAATGTCCGCAAATCATGACAGAAAGAATATTTTATTACAAATATTGATGTTTATAAAGGAATTATAGGGAACCAGCCAAGGACCCATCAAGGGAAGTGGGGAAATTTGGAATGGCTACTGCTGTATGTCTATACCAGAAGAATGTTCTTCATCTCTAGGATTGTTTTAAAGACTCCAGGAGCTCCTGCAGAACTTCCAGCGGAGGCTCGATGTCTGGTTCCTGAAGAAGCTCCAAGTTCCTTTAAAAAGACAATGAGGAGAGCTGCAGAACGGTTCAGAGAAGCAGGTGTTCTTCAGCTTTCAGAGGGGCTTCAATGAACTCTATACTAATACAGTAGATCCTACAACAGTTCCTGGATCTGGACTTGGTTCCAGCCAGTCTCTGTGTTCTTCAGGTATGATCCTGGACCTCGAACCTCTCCGTTTTCCCCTTGGATCCGAATACAAGCTCAGATCAAAGACTAAATTCACAGATTAATGATCTAGATGGTTTGTCGTCTTCCTTTACCTTCAGGCGCCCCACCAACCTCCGCTCTGATTGGACAGTTGCAGCTGGGGTGGATAAAGGTGCGAGGTCAGGGTCAGAGCCCTGTTTACTTCAGGTTCAGAACTTACTGTGGGAGATTTCACACACGGCTTCAGATGGATGTCAGGATAATGGATCTGTTCTCCTCTCAACCTTTTAATCGCACTCTAACAGAACCTTCTGAACCTGGGATGTTCTCCTCCCAGCAGAACCTTCTAGGAATTTTATAATCCTTTGACCTGACATCCAGCATAAGCCAATCAGGACCAGATCTTCCTCGTGACATCATCGATAACTAACCAGCCCCGCTGCATCTGGACCAGAACCAGTTCCATTCTCAGTACAGTCATGTCTCTGAAGCAGGACTGGATCAGGACTGAAGCAGAACCATTGAGCAGTGACAGCAGCACCGCGATGCCTTCATGAAGAGTCAGGAAGAACCAGCGTCAGCACCAGAAATGCAAGTTCCTCTGTGAGCCGGAGCAGGAAGCACACAGACACACACTCACACGCTCTCTGAGGTTCTGCTGCGCCTGTCAGAACCTCTGCTCACCTGTCCTCTGCTGTCCTGACCATCTGCCCAGCGGGGGAGCTCATGATGTCACAGCGATGTCACAGCGTGTTCTGATCTGCATGTATGACCGGCTTGCTGTTGGTGTGTGTGTGTGTGTGTGTGTGTGTGTCTTCCTCCTTTTGAGTTCTCTCTCTCTCTCTCCACTCTAACTCTATGCGACTCGCCCTGTGACTGTCTGACAGGTCTGACTGCATTTCAGTGCAGAGCTGCCGTCTGATTGGCCGAGGCTCACCTGGTCTACGCAGACACCTGAGCTGCAGCAGCCCTTCATTAACATCCACCAATCACAGCGAGGGATGAAGAGCTGGGAAGCTGCAGGGTCCTAAAGCCCGCTGGGTCCTCATCTGTTCTTAAGAACTTGAGCCAGAAGTTCTGCTCAGATGTTTTCGCTCCGGATCGGTTCTGGTTTCCATCGTTAACTGTTGGACAACATTCTGTTCAGTTTTTATCAGGGTTCCCAACCAGAACAGTCCAGAATTTATAAGGACGTTTTACAGACAGGGCCACCTTATTGATCAGCTCTGATCCAGAAGTCTGACGGTTTGTTCTGGTGAAATCTAAACAGCTGGAACTGATCTGGATCAACTGATCCTGCTGCAGATTAAACATCCTTAGAGCTGGTTCTGACCCACTGATCTGGATCAACTGATCCTGCTGCAGATTAAACATCCTTAGAGCTGGTTCTGACCCACTGATCTGGATCAACTGATCCTGCTGCAGATTAAACATCCTTAGAGCTGGTTCTGACCCACTGATCTGGATCAACTGATCCCGCTGCAGATTAAACATCCTTAGAGCTGGTTCTAACCCACTGATCTGGATCAACTGATCCTGCTGCAGATTAAACATCCTTACAGCTGGTTCTGACCCACTGATCTAGATCAACTGATCCTGCTGCAGATTAAACATCCTTAGAGCTGGTTCTGACCCACTGATCTGGATCAACTGATCCTGCTGCAGATTAAACATCCTTAGAGCTGGTTCTGACCCACTGATCTGGATCAACTGATCCCGCTGCAGATTAAACATCCTTAGAGCTGGTTCTGACCCACTGATCTGGATCAACTGATCCCGCTGCAGATTAAACATCCTTAGAGCTGGTTCTAACCCACTGATCTGGATCAACTGATCCTGCTGCAGATTAAACATCCTTAGAGCTGGTTCTGACCCACTGATCTGGATCAACTGATCCCGCTGCAGATTAAACATCCTTAGAGCTGGTTCTAACCCACTGATCTGGATCAACTGATCCCGCTGCAGATTAAACATCCTTAGAGCTGGTTCTAACCCACTGATCTGGATCAACTGATCCTGCTGCAGATTAAACATCCTTAGAGCTGGTTCTGACCCACTGATCTGGATCAACTGATCCCGCTGCAGATTAAACATCCTTAGAGCTGGTTCTAACCCACTGATCTGGATCAACTGATCCCGCTGCAGATTAAACATCCTTAGAGCTGGTTCTAACCCACTGATCTGGATCAACTGATCCTGCTGCAGATTAAACATCCTTAGAGCTGGTTCTGACCCACTGATCTGGATCAACTGATCCTGCTGCAGATTAAACATCCTTAGAGCTGGTTCTGACCCACTGATCTGGATCAACTGATCCTGCTGCAGATTAAACATCCTTAGAGCTGGTTCTAACCCACTGATCTGGATCAACTGATCCTGCTGCAGATTAAACATCCTTACAGCTGGTTCTGACCCACTGATCTAGATCAACTGATCCTGCTGCAGATTAAACATCCTTAGAGCTGGTTCTGACCCACTGATCTGGATCAACTGATCCCGCTGCAGATTAAACATCCTTAGAGCTGGTTCTGACCCACTGATCTGGATCAACTGATCCTGCTGCAGATTAAACATCCTTAGAGCTGGTTCTGACCCACTGATCTGAACTGCAGCTGGACATGCTTCATTTCTCCATCCTTAATATGAGGTTCTGATTTGGTTTTAGAACTCTGACTGCAGAACAGTCCATCAGTTCTCAGTCTGTAGGTATACAGTCCTGCATCAGAACCTTTAGCTGGTTCCTACTGGACCCGGTGGGACTCAGGTGGTACTGTGGGTCAGAGATCAGCAGGATGACGATCTGCTGTGGATAAAAAAAACCTTAAAGCTAAAGTTGGAGGGGAAGAAAGCTTTCCTTTTGTAACTTCCTTTTAATGCAAACTTCCTGTCGGTGTTTCACAATAAAAGCCTGCACCCTGCCTTATTGTGAAACTTTCTCAGCTCTGCGGATCAGCTACTGGTTCTCCACTGTGACAGTTCTATCAGTGACTCTTTCATAAAAGAGGATTTTTTTTTTAATGGATAGAGAAACCACAGTGTGCCCTGGTTCTGCTAATCCAGCTAGAAAACAGGAACCAGGCTCTAAATCTAAACCTTCAGGAGCTCATTAAGAGAGAAACAAAGTAGACCTTCTACCCAGGGACGGATTTAGAAAATTTGGGGCCCAAGGCAGAGACAGGCAGGGGGCCGTCCGTATTGAGAAGACACACATAGAACAGACCCATTCTCCAGATAGAGAAATGTTAATAGAATAGACATCCATTATCTGTTCTAGGTTGTGTCCCTCTCTTCTTGTCCCTTTTCTTCTTGTTTTCCTCTCTATGTTTTGTACTCAGCTGACTTTTCATGCTGTCTCTAAAGGAATGAAAGATTTTTTCCAAGCACTAAGCTCACTTAGCTGATTGCTCCTTCCTGTGTTTCCAAAAAGGCCAAAGTAAATAACCCAGTCCTTCTTTTCACTGTAGACAAGCCATGATCTGCTTATCTGTTCTCCATTTTTCATTTGGATGAAATAATAGCTGCATGAATCATGACAGCAGACAAGATAGAGGAGAGCAGGAGGCGGGGTTACCAATCTACTTGCTCTGGAGAGCAGAGTTCGCTGCTTTTAGATGTTGTCTCCAAAGTCTCCAGTAGCAGAAAAAAGTCTCTAGATTTGGCGCTAGGAGCTTGTTAGAAATCAAAGTGCTAGAGGGGTCTGAAAAGTGGCTAAATATAGCGACTAAAGCGCTAAGTTGGCAACACTGCTCTTTGCATGGTTTGTTTTCAAATGGTTTGCTGCTGTCTGTTTGGACCTTTCTGAACATGAAAATGCAAACTCCATGCAGAGTCTAGGGGAGTTTTGGGGGGAATTTATGAAATTCAATTGATAGCACACTTATTCACCTGAGAACTGATAAAGTATAAGTATAATAAAGTATAAAGAATCTCAATCTATCTACATATTTATTATTATTGCATTTTAAATAGGCCTATAGGCTCATAGGTCTTTTTTCCAACAAATTTTTTTAAAATTCACAGCACCCCCTGATCAAAATGACTTCCAGCAGCCCTGAACAGAGTTTAAAAACATTTGGTGTTTACACCAATGTTGTTATTATATAAATCTTTTTTTCAAGCACTTTTTAACTCTTCTCTCATTGCTCTTTATCTCTCTCTCTCTTCTTTTTTTTAATCTCTGGGTGTTTTATTTGACAGTAAATATCGATCTATTCTTGTATAAGGAAAGCAGAGGGCAGAAGTTAATGGTGGTTTGAGTCACAATTTTCTGTCATCTTTGTTATGGGATTCCAAACATGCCTAAATGTGGGGCCCCACCTGTGAGGGATGTAGGCATCCACCAGAGGGGGCTATACTCCTTCCAAGCCACTGAGCTACCAGCAAAGCACTTAGTGGGGATATCAAACCTAGTTTTATTTTTGCAATCAGACAAGATCAGATCCTGGAATTGACCCCTGGGGGGTGGAAGCTGAAGCCTGGAAGCAGCTGCCGGGGAGACATGAGGTACGGGGGGGGAGGTTTGTTAATACGGAATAGTTCTTGAAGTATTTATGAAGCAACCTTGGTCAAATTCCAAGATTAAAAATATAATCATCTTTAAATTGAATATTTCTTCCAGTTCAGTTAAGCTGCAGCATCTTTAAAGTCCAGTAAATCCAGTTGGATCAGACATGACTGCTCATCCAGAGCTCAGATCAAACACTGATCAGGATTTTATCTCAACAATCTCCTCATCATCAACACAATATCAAACAAATCTGTTTTAATCTCCATTTAAACCCCACAGTGTGACCCCACACTGGTGGAGGATTATTAATCCCTTTTATGTTTGTTTTGCACACAAAACTAATAGAAAAAGAGCCTATAGCCCAAACAAATCAACTCTACCTTTGTCCCTTCTTCCTGCCACATCGTCGATTCAATGATGTAGCAACAGACTGGCTTTGTATAAGCAGTAGTTCTAGATGCTGATAGCTGGTTCTTCTGTAGAGGTCTGTCTTTTACTTGATCTGGAGAAGCCTCTGACTGAAGACACTTTGTTGTTTAACTGTCTGATGAAGGGGATGCTCACTGTTCGCTATAATTCCTGGTTTTATAAAATAGAATAGAATAGAAAATCCCTTTATTTCCCCACAAAGTGGAAATTCTTGTGTTTACAGAAGCAAAAAGATTAGAGTTTTCGACAGCGGGTCCGTGACCCCTAGGGGGTCCACAGGGGGACTTTTTTTTTATCAGAATCAGAAATACTTTAATAATCCCAGAGGGAAATTACATTTGTTACACGCTCCAGTTACAGTTTTATATATATATATATATATATATATATATATATATATATATATATATATATATATATATATACACATCCAACAACACAAGATAATAAAGATAAAAATAAAAAAGAGATAAAATGTATACACATATAGCTCTTCTGTATATATATCTGTACGTATATCTATGCATATGTAAAAATGAAATCCAAGTAAAGTGATAAATCCAAGTAAAGTGATACGTGGCGTGCAAAAATAGTGCATAAATCTCAATTACAGAGGGGGGGTGTCTGAATCACTTGAAGGAGGCGTCATAGAGATTGATGACCACAGGTAGGAATGATTTCCTGTGGCGCTCTGTGGTGCATCTGGGTAGGAGGAGTCTTCTGCTGAAGGAGCTCGTCTGCTGGACCAGTGTGTCGTGGAGAGGAGGTCAGGGTGTCCAGCTGCTCCCCCACAACATCACCAGCCCTCCTGATCAGTTTGTTCAGTCTGTTGCTGTCAGCACCCCTCAGCCCACTGCCCCAGCATGTGACAGCAAAGAAGAGCGTGCTAGCAACAACTGACTCATAAAACAATATACATTCCTCCCTCTGAAATTTTTTCCACTAATAGAAATGTCTTTAAATCCACATTAACAGGAATTCACCAGACTGTAGTAAACAGATAAATAGAGGCAGAAGATGTCTCTCAGTCATCAATGCTCACATTCAGAGACACACAGGAGCTCTTTCAATCTGGACACCGTTTCATTCACAACACCTGTCCCATCAACCAGGAAGAAGAAATACAGAAATTACTTTCGTTACATTACTCCATCTGTAATAGAGTGACTATAGGACCAGCTTGATAGAACACAATTTCATACAATATATATAATAATTAGAGGGTCCCCGCTCCATCTCACCATCAGTTTAGGGGCCCTAGACCTGGAAAACCCTAAAGATCCCTGCTGTAAAGTGTTGAACAATAAAAACTGTGCACCTGGAGAATAAATAACCAATATCCAGCTGGACATTTTTACAGTAATAGATGTTTGAAAATAGCAGCAACATCAGAGATGTGCAAAATGTTATTTATTTTATTTCGAACAGACAGTAAAAACAATCAAGAAAGAAAAAAATTGAATGAAACAAACTTAAGAATGAAAATATAAAACAAATTATTTTGCCCATGTGACATGCAAATTTAATATTTTCTGTTCGAAAAGGAGCAGGTAGAAGATACATCTTATAATGTCCCGCCCCTTTCCTACTTGTCAATTTATCATCAATTAACTGTCAAAACATAAAAAAAAACAAAAAAAAAAAACACTTTCTATTTCGCATGATGTTTAGCCATGTACAAGTATTTTAAGTACTATTTATGTCATCAATTACATTATAGACTATTAAACAGTCATCTTATATAGCATATTTAATTGATTAAGATAGAAAATGTGCAAAATCAGCATGAATGGAGCAACTTATTGAGGTTGTTGGGAACAGTGGTGGTTCTAGAGTCTTCCAGCTGCTGGGAGGAAGGATCTGTGATAACGCTCCCTGGTGCATTTAAGGTGCAGCAGTCTGTCACTGTAGGAGCTGTCCAGTTCAGCACCAGCTGAACCAGCATGGGGTGGGAGACACTATCCTACAGAGATGTTCCTTTAGTTAGAATCATTTTGTTTCCCACCTCCTGCATTAAGTCCAGAGGGCATCCGATCACAGAGCTGGTATCTCAGCTAGAGATGAGCCACTGCTCCAACAGGCTCCATAGAAGATGGCTGATGCCACAACAGTCATAGAAGGTCTTTAGGAGCGCCCCCTGCACTCCATTAGACCTCAGTCTCCTCAACAGAAAGATTCTGCTCCCACCTTTCTAATACAGAGCCTCACTGTTTTCAGTCCTCTCCAGAGGTTCTAGACCATCGCATCACATTTATGTCAAAACATCAGAGAACTTTTTTAACTTAACTTCTGTAAACACCTGGATATGTATATTGATTGCCTCCCTTTTCTGAAGGCTTTTTTTCTCTTGTTTAACAATTCCTTCAAATCACTGGTAATCAAGGGTTTATTACTAGGGAAGCTTTTTACTGTTCTGATGGCCTTGGGATATCCTGATCTCGCGAGCTTTCAAGATTTCACTCGCTAATCAGTCTGGAGACTCTCCGTTGAAGAAAATTTGGAGCCGTTCGCCAAACGAACGTCCAATCAGCGTTGGCTTTGAGGCGGGTGTGACGCAACGAGAAGCGTGACAGTTCAGTCTAAAGAACATGGCGGCTTCAGCCAAGGAAACTAGCGTTAGCGTGGCTATCGAGCAACGAGAAGCGTGACAGTTCAGTCTAAAGAACATGGCGGCTTCAGCCAAGGAAACTAGCGTTAGCGTGGCTATCGAGCAAGTTGTATCGGAATTACAGAGTATTTCTTCACTGAAAGAAGAGCAAAACACTGCTCTGGAGGCTTTTCTCAGAGGAAAAGATGTTTTTGCTCTTCTCCCGACTGGTTTCGGCAAGAATAGCCTGACTTGTGGTTGTGTTTTCGTCGTCGCTCTGTTAGTACGTCATATGCTTCGTTGATCTGATTGGTTTATTTGGCCCGTCTATCACCAACATAGGCCAATCAGCTAACCAGTATTTTCGCCCCTTCCCAAAATTACTTCTACAGAAGGTTTCCAGATGGATATGCGGAGCAAATCCAGCAAATCCATCTGGTGGAGTCAGGTTAGCGTTGGGGTTATATACACAGAAGTTTATGTAGTCAGTCACTCACTCAGTTATTGCATATATGTCCTCTCCATGTGGCTGACGCAGTGCATTTAGCCTCAGAACAACCTCAAAGGGCCTCTTCAGCTTCCTGTGACCATCTTTTTAAAATGCTTTGTATTGCAAGTTGTCTCGTATAAAGGGGCTTAAACTCTGAGCACAGAAAAGCAAGATTGTGATCTGATTTTTCAAGATATCCCCCTCCAGACACCATGTCAGGTTCTGTCTGCAACAAAATAACATTAAAGCACTTTTATTGAGAACCAGACCAAAACAAAGAGGCGGCCTCATTAAGACACTGCATAAAATGTGCAACTAAAGATCACATATAATACAAGACAAAGCCCTTGATGCACATCACACTATGGCTTTTGTGGTTCATAAAACATTTTCAAAAATGAATATTTATCACAAAATTCCACCCAGCACTAATCCATCCAGCAAAATTCTAGAATAAATATCAGATTATGATTAGTATAACGGTGACAATTATTTAAACACTGTCTAATGATTTTACAGATTTGGAAGTATGAAGAGAATTGGACATGAGATACTTCAGAAGTAACCCCTTAAGAATGAACATGAACAAAGTAAAATCTGTTGGACAAATAATGGTAAAACCAGTCTAATGGTTTTTTCTTTTCAATTAAATTAAATTAAATTCCATTTATTTATATAGAACCAATTCAGAACATATCGTCTCAAGGCACTTTACAGAGACTATTTTACCAGATCATACAACCAGCTCCACAGGCAGCCCCGTCCAGGAAACACACAGCCAGGCAGACGAGCTCCGAGCCAGCTCCCATGTCAGAGGATGAAGAGAGCACATCCAGTTAGTCACAGTCAGAGAAACAGGACTACACTGGAAAACAGGCCAAGCTCCAACATCTAGAAACAAAGGTGTTGATGGCAGCAGCACAGCTGATATTTCTCTCCAGGATGGAGTCACAGCCAAACAGGAACAGACCAGATGAAGCTACTATGAGAAAAAGCAGAGAGAGCAGAACGTTAGAGATTGAACTAACAGATTCTGCAGAGTGGGAGAATAGAGATAGAATGAAGCAGAATGATGAAAAAGGGGTCCCTATGTCCTCCAGCAGTCTAAGCCTATAGCAGCAGAACTATAGAGATAGCTCAGGATAACCTGAGCCACTCTAACTATAAGCTTTATCAAAAAGCTTATAGTTAGAATTCTGACTTTTTTCTTAGAATTCTGATTTTAATCTCAGAATTTTGACTTTAATCTTAAAATTCTGACTTTAATCTCAGAATTCTGACTTTTTTCTTAGAATTCTGATTTTAATCTCAGAATTTTGACTTTAATCTTAGAATTCTGACTTTTTTTATTGTCAGAATTCAGTCAGAATTCAGAGAAAAAAGTCAGACTTCTGAGATTAAAGTCAGGATTCTGACTTTTTTTCCCCATACTAAACTGAAGTAAAATTTAAAAATCAGTAAACTTTTTTTAGTGGCCCTAATCCTCTTCCGTACCAAAAGTTATATGGTGTACCCTTTAAGTAAATGAATATATTTGTCTATTTGAAGTGGGTTCACAACCCAAACCTTAGAATCTGATGTGCTTGAGAACAGCTTCTGTTCTGCAAGTTCTACAGTCCAGGAACCACTGAGAAATCTCAGATCCTAATATCCTAATATCATATCTGTAGCAGAGAAATTCACGAGGGATTTGAACTGGTGTTGTGACAGCAGGTCTGTTAACAGTTCTTTGGTTGTTTGTCTGGTTTCCTTCAGCCTTAATCCTTCCTGTTCTTCAGCCTGTAACCGACCCAGAGCAGCTCTGTGATCCATAATCTGCTGTAATCTGTTAATCTGTCCTCCTCTGGCCTGGCTCGTTTCAGCTCTCCGTTTATTACGTCTTGCAGGGATGAAAGCTGCGGCTGCAGAGGAGTTCTTGGTTCTGCCATGGCCCAGCAACAGCGGCGGCGGGTCAGAGCCTGGGCCCGGAGGGGAAGGTTATGGAGCTGTGCTGTTGAAGTGTGGAGCTGCTGTGGGAGTCACTCTGATCTGTAAGAACTTTGCTTTAAAAACGCTTTTTTCTACTAGGATGAATCCAATATTCAGATCCGTTACCGTTTTCTACCCTCAGCAGTAAGTAGATGAATTTCTTGAATGGTTGTTATAGGACTTTTGTTTAAAGAAAACAAAATATAGCTGAACAAACCCAAACTGAGGCTGTTTACATGAAAGGCTGGAACTCTTAGACAAACTAAGAAAAAAAAACACCTAGATAAAAATCCATGGAGTCGAACTTTTACATATTTTCACCTTAAATTTTATTGAATTTTCTGTTACAAACACAAAGCTTAGCAAAACTATGAAGAGGATAAAAAGTGCTGCATAAACTTTAACATGGTTTGCAGATACAATCTGAAAAGTGTGGCATTTTGGCTGTTTTATGTCTAACTTGATGTTCAGGTTGTTGTCTTATTGGAGGGTCGACCTTCTCAGATCTTGTTTCTTCCTGGATTGTCTTGGTCCAGCTTTCCTGTCTCACAGCAGGATGCTGCCACCACTACCTTTTAACTAAAACAATCAGAATGTGTCAAAGCAACTCCAAATACTGATCCAAGAGGAAGATAAATTAAACATTACTTGGTAAAATAATACATTATTTCTTAATCTGAATTCAATAACGTTTTGTTCATTGATTATGCATTTTATTTGTTTGTTATAACGCTTTAAGCTTCTTTAAGCTTGGTTTAAGAAACGATGGAGCTAGTAATTCTATTCAGTTTATTTCTACAGCTCCAATTCACATCATGTCATCTCAGGTCACTTTCCAGTTCACCAGATCATCCAGTCAGATTGATTCAAAGTTTTCTATCTAAGGAAAACCAGCTGATTGTATCATCTCATTGACTCAAATACAATCCCTCACACTAAGCATGCTTGTAGCGACAGTGGAGAGGAAAAACTCCCTTTTAACAGGAAGAAACCTCCAGTAGAACCGGGCAAATAGCTAGCAGACACAAGGGAGCACATGTAAAAGCGACTCTTTAGTTATATTTGGCCAATCAAATGTATTTCGTATTTATAAACAACACCTCAATACATGTCAGCATGGGGTACCATGCGGTAACCCTTAGCTTCCTCTTAGCTTATTTATAACCAAAGTAAACACAATTAAATTATCAAATACCATCAAAAACTAAAATTATTCAGCTTTTAAGGTTGACCTTAGCCTTGCCAGAGCTGGAACCACAGTTGATCTGCATTTTGGAAAGGTGAGGCGTCTCCAAAGGTCAGGAAGGCTTAGCAAGTCAGGGCCTGTAGCAGCAAAGTTTAAATATAAAGATAAAAGCCTCCAGTCTCTAGCATCTCATAGTTTCCTGTAAACTCAGAAAGAAACATTGCAGTTTTGCAGAGCCTGGTTTTGAGATCACCAACAGCCCGACTTAACTTTGGCAGTCAGAAGGTTCTGATTGTTGCCTTCCATACATGGGGTGTCTCTGATATGGCTGACTAAGGATGTAGGAGCACGGCGAGTGGGTAGGATCCATGTCTTGGCGTTAGTGTCTTGTAGGAGGGGCTTGTGTAGCAGATGAAGAGGAGCGTACAGCATCTTCCCTCATCAATGTCCGTAGTTAAACAGCCTGGGCATCGGTCCTAAATTTTCTAAATAAATATGGCTTATTGCATTACAGCTTCCTCTGATTTTCTCTGGGCCACTCTCACATAAAGGACAGATCTATGGAGTGAACAAGTTTGAGTTGGATTTTTTTAATAATCATGCAAGTAAGACAACTTCAACATACACATTAGGAGAGTGGTGGCCTAGTGGTTAGAGCAGTGTGCTCTAAATAGGATGCAAGTACCCTGTGTGATTCCACAGCCTCCACTCTGGGTCCCTGAGCAAGACCCTTAACCCCACACTGCTGCCCGGGCGCCACATAATGGCAGCCCACTGCTCCCCAAGGGGAGGGGTTAAATGCAGAGGCAAATTTCTCCAGTGTGAGAGTAATAAAAAGAAAAGAAAAAAAAGTTAAATACAATTATTTAGAGGTTCAGAAGATCCAACATGGCTCCTGCATGTTGCTCTGTTCCTGCTGCAAGGCAGGTTTATTGGAACAGCACCATTTATTCTCGCATACTAAGAAGTATTTTACAGACAGAAGGAACTACAGTAAAACGTAGTAGTTACAACAGACAGAAGAAAAGACAATAAAGGTGATGGTGTAAATGCTGCTTTCTCTCGCTGATGCAATTACTGTTTTTCCATAACGTAACGTTTTTTCTTATCTTTACCTTTAATAGGTACCTTACCTGCCAGAGAGATAGAGTGTGTGTGAAGAATGCTGATGGGCCATGAAATATATAATAATAAATAAATTGAACTTTATTGATCCCACATTGGAGAAATTAGCCTCTGCATTTAACCCATCCCCTTGGGGAGCAGTGGGCTGCCATTGTCCGGCGCCCGGGGAGCAGTGTGGGGTTAAGGGTCTTGCCCAGGGCCCCAGAGTGGCAGTCTGGGGGAGTGGGGGATCGAACTACCAATCTCAGGATTCAAAGCCCTATGCCCTAATCACTAGACCACCACTCCCCTCCATAACCAGTAGCCAATTCAATAAGTAACTCTTTTAGGTTTATATTTTTTGTAAATCTGACTAACAGAGTCAGTGCGTCACCAACCATGAGTCTCACCACATGTCACTGGGATATTGTTTTATTTAAAGATGAACATGTGTTTTTTTCACATATATGAGGGCCCTTTTAGGTCAAAAGAAAAGCTCCAACAAAAATTAAACAAATTGTTGATTTGTGTTTTCTAAGAGCTGCAGTAACCAATCATATTTAAACCAATTCCAGGACATCTGCTTTCAGAAATGTTGCTCCAGAGCTGAGGACTTGTGGTTCTGTGAACCAACTGAGAGCCTGAGGGTTTTATCTGGTTCCTAAAGGACAGTGGCGCTGACTCCACTCAGGTTCTTGTAGACCGTTACACCAAAGCAGTTATTCAGAGGTTTCTTTAAACCATTTTCTTGTTCAGGACCCTGGCTGAAACATTTTGGAAGAGCTGCTTGACTGACCTCTATAGACATTCAGTAATAAAATTTATAACTGTGGTCGGAAATTTAGATTTCTCTTATTTCAGAAATTGATTTATGCCATTTACTCACTAAAATTTCTGTTTCACCTGCAAGGCCGCACAGTGCCTGAATGAGGGGTGTTTGTAGGCTAGACATGCTCATTCCCATAACAAGCCAGATTCTTTCTCAATGGGGTGACCAGATTTGGGTTTCTGGGTCCAGTTAGTGGCCCCGGGGCCGCAGCTACCGTCACCGGGTCGGGTTCGGTCGCTCCGCCCCCCACTGGCTCGATCCCCCCGTCCGCCAGAGTTCCCGGACCAGCCCCAGAACTGACGGCTCGGTTCTGCTGCACTGTACTCGACCAAAAATCTGAACTATTTTGAAATTCCCCCCTAGACGTTTTTTTGGGTATGAAAAGTAGGACATGTCCCGGAAAAAGAGGACGTTTTTTATCATTGCACGCAGCTCCCAATGCATGTTCTCACACTGTTCGACAAAGTCTGTCAGATTAATAAAAGATGTATCTGTCATGATGTGTTTAGAGGTCTGACCCAAAAATGCAGAGAACCACTTAGAGAGCAGGAAAAAAGGTTAAAAAGGTTTATTGAGGTAAGGGTAGAGGGGGTTGGATTTGGAACTCAGTGTACTCAGAGGGCTGGTGAACCTGAACTGGAAGGTCGCAGTGGTTAGTTCAGGAACCGTGGGAATCTTGAATGCAGTAGGGAAAATGCTAGTGAAGGACTCACGTTAGGGGGGGTCTTCTCTAACTAGCATCCAGTCTGTGTGGGTTGATCAGAGAAGAGGGAACATGTTGAAGAGTGGACAGGTAGACATACTTTGGACCCGGAGGAGCACTGGGGCGGACTGTCGCTTGGATTTCCATGAGGGACTTGAACGGAACATGTGGAGTTGTCTCCCCTGCTCAGTGTGAACTCGGTAAACATTCCTTCCAGGGGAAGAAGGCCAAACATCCAGTATGCAGGAGGACTTCCTGCCAAAGGCAAAGACAAAAAAAAGGTTAGACTCACAGAGACAAAGACTCAGTTTGACTCAGTGAAACAAAGACTCAGGTTAGGCTCTGCTAATGGCTAGAGTACCCAAAACTGGCAAACACTCTGGCGTCGAGGTAATGACAGTCCACTGCTTAAGTACTCCTCCAGATAATGATCCAAAGAGCTGCAGGTGTGCAGGGTGGAGGGAGAGACAGACACAAAACAGACCACACAAACTGGATTCCTGACAGTATCTAGAATTATAATGATAAAAAAATTAAGAATCATAGTTTATTGGTATATTGAAAGGGCTGGAGGCAGAGTAAGACAATCTGAGTTAAGCATCAGAAAAAACAAGGATTTATGTAGACCTTAAAATAACAGTTGAAGTTTTACAGATGGAGGTAAAATACAGGGATTGTTTAAAGGACCAGAACCATTTGTGTTCCTCCTACAGGGGCCAGAACTCTTCAGGTCTTCTTCATTTTTTCAGATTCCACTGTTGAAGCTTATAGAGTCAATGTCTTTTCTCACCTGTTCCAGGTGTGGTCGTGCTCAGGAAATGGATTTCAGGAGGAGTGTGTCGATGTTCCGTCCGGCTGGACGGAAAGACTGTTCTTGTGACCGGAGCAAACACAGGCATTGGTAAAGAGACCTGCAGAGACCTGGCTGGGAGAGGTAAGACTGCCGCGCCTCACCTGACAGACCGGGGTGTTTGATCTGCAGGAGACTTCAACCGGACCGGGCATGCAGGAGGTTCTGATGGGTCCTACTATGTACTATTATTTCTTTTTTTGTTATCTAACATGATCAGATCACCCGTATGTTAACTGTATATAAATATCAAAATTATACTATTTCTAAAGAGAATCCAAATCCATAATATTGAAAGTTCTCAAAGAGCAGTTAGCTCTTCATCTGGTACATCTGGTCAAAGAGACTCAGGTAATGCTGGAGTTTCTTACGGCAGGTAATGTCAGGGTTCAGCCCTCTATTTAAGTTTATTTTTAGTGTCTTTGTATTTGTAGTTGTTTTCTGGGAGGGTTTTGTTCTTGAGTTACTCTCTGTTGCCCCCTTGTGTTTGTTTCCTTTTCCCTTGGCTTCCTTCTAGATGCTTTCATCCACACCTGTTCCCCGTCAGCTCATTAGCCCCGTCTTTGTTCTGTCTCCTATATATACTCCTCCCTGTGGAGTTCCTCAGTCCTGGTTCCTTTTCTTTTCCTGGCTCCTCATGTATGTTTTCCTGTATTTGCTATTTTGTATTTTTGTATTTCTGCCTCAGTTGCCAGTCAGTATTTCATTAAATCAGCTAAACTCATCTCTGCCCACTAATCTACATTTAGGTCCTCAAAACCTCAATCCAAAAGTGACAGGTAGATCTTGTCCATTAGTGTCTTCTCTGTGTCCAACAGCAAATCTCGGTTCTTCAAACAATTATGAAGTGTTGGGCTTGTTTTATGGCCACTCACTTTATGGCCAAGACTCAGACTTTCTGAGTCTTGGCCAATATTTGAGATAGTTTCTAATGCTGAACTAAGCCAGGTTTCCTATTCATCACCAAACTTGTCTGTGATTATCCTGGATCTATGCTGCTGAAACACATCTGTCACCAGTGGTCCTGAAATAAGGACCATGTAAGAATGCCGGAATGAACTTCCTCTGTAGTGATCAGCCTAAGGGAGGAGGAGAGGAGCAACAGGGGAGCAGAGGAGGTTAATTTAATCAGTACCTATTGATGGCCTCACCTTGGACACATTCAGGTCACGTCCAACTTTGAGGAGGCCCTAGGGGAGATGGAGAGATCTCTATAACATAAATAAAGCCATTCTGACATATATCTACCACTAACGTCTGGGTTTGCATCTTGGACGTGTTCCCTGATCTTTGGACAAGCTGAAGACAACACAAGAGGGTTAGATGTGTACTACTAAGTCATAAACATTAGAGCTTTAAAAAAGACCGGCCAATATGAATTGAAGTCTAAGATAAATTTAGGTCTGAGAAGGAAACAGCCAAAAGAGCTTCAGGGTTCTGCGAGGTTCGCATCTACTATGCTGACACTTCAGGAGAAAACACCCTGTTTTTTCAGAAAGTGGTACCTGTAGACCAGTTAGACCCTCAAAGAAGAACACAACTGTTCATGGAGGTGCAAGTTCTGATGCGGAGATGCTGACATGTTGGTGAAGAACTTAGGCGTTGAGTTTAAAGAGGCGTGAAGATCCAACAGTCGGAGCTCCTCCTATTGAGCTCAGCCGGTTTTATCTTCTGAGCACTCCTGCATTAATAACACACAAGTCACCTAAAACCATAATCAGCTCAGAGAACACGGCACCTGCTAACACCTGCAAATCGGCATGCTGGTGTCTGTTCACCAGGAGCCCGGGTGGTGATGGCGTGCAGGGATCTGACCCGGGCGGAACGAGCGGCAGAGGAGGTCCGGCACTCAACAGGAAATGGCAACGTGGTGATCAGACACCTTGACCTTGCCTCTGTTTATTCGGTCTCCCAGTTTGCCAAGGACTTCCTGGACAGTGAGGAAAGATTGGACATCCTGATTAACAATGCAGGTGACATGTCCCTCTGTCTGTCTGTCCTTCTGTCCGCCTCTCTGCTCACCCGTCCGCTCTGCCATCCTGCAGGTGTGATGATGTGTCCCAGGTGGATCACTGAAGATGGCTTTGAGACTCAGCTGGCTGTCAATCATCTTGGTCACTTCCTGTTGACAAATCTTCTGCTGCCATTGCTTAAAAGCTCCGTCCCCAGCCGTGTGATCAACGTGTCATCCATCGCCCACCAGGGGGGTATGTCCTTTGAACTAAGCCTCTTAAATGTTTATGTGATGTTTTTGATCCCTGCAGATGGTGATTGTTCTGTGTTCTGGTTCTCAGGTCGTATCGATTTTGATGACCTATTCTTCAGCAGAAGACCATACAGCGCCCTGGAGAGCTACAGACAGAGCAAGCTGGCCAACGTCCTGTTCACCCGGGAACTGGCCCGTCGGCTCAAAGGTTCTGACAAACACAGAGATTCTGAACTACATCAAAATACTCAAAACCGGAACTCTTTGAGGTTCTAAACAACACCAGAACAGAAGCCGAGTCTGAGCAACACCAGAGCTCCCTGAGATTCTAAACCAGGTTTTCTTGATCCCGGTCCTCAGGGCCCATTGTCCTTCGTGTTTTAAATGTGTTTCTACTTAAGCGCATCTGATGCAAATGATTGCATTGCCTCTTCAACAGCCATCAAATGCTGCAAAAACTCTGTAAATCACCTTTTCATTCAGGTCACACCAGACTTGTCCTTTCTCAAGAATGGACAAGTCTGCTTACAGGCATGCTGGGTAAAGAGGGAGGGGCGAGAACAACATCTGGGGGCTTTGTCCGTTCTCAGTCTTCTTGTTCTTGTGAATTGGAACAGTACTAGGGCTGAAGCTGATGACTATTTCGAGTAAAATGAGCACACGAGAATGCACAAGTACACATATTGAGAAATGGCCTTGCTGCCACCACCCCTACGCTCTGTCGCCTAGTAACTGTGACAGTTGAGTAAGGGATGTTCATTGTACTCTTTTTCTATGAAGCATTGTACAACAGGTAGATTTGCAGACTTATTTTGCTTTAAACTTGCGGTCAACAGAAATATTGGCACCCTGCCTTAGCCTCTCTCTGAATCAAACAAAGCAAACAGCCCCAGAGCAGATCCAGGTGATATTTATTAGACAATCACTCAGCTCCAGACACATGCCAACACCCACTTATAGCTCCACCCACACATGCCCATACATACCTTTAACACATGTACCCTACCCTTAGAGACATGACAAAAATGCATCCTTGCCTCTACATACAATATTCACCACTGCTTGGCGCCATTTCCCTTTTTCCTCTGAGCATGGAGCTTGGCTTGCTTGGACTCACAATGAATCATGGGATACCCAAGGCTAAAGAGGATATAACGGACCTGTCCTTAAAAACGAGCAAAAAGGAGGACACATTTGTCGCCCGCATAACAAGGAGTCTTCCAGTCTGAACAGGGCTGGGTGCCGCGCTAGGACGTAATCGGTCTACAAATCTGGACACAGTCACTAAATTTGAATTCTTCAACTGTATCCAGTTGTGTCCATATTCAGTGGTGGCATTTTTCCAACTCGCAATGTGTAACATAAAGATAAACTGCATTGTGCCATGATTGGATCCTTGTTTTCCTCACCTGATCTATAGGCTCCGGCGTGTCGGCGTTCTGTCTCCACCCCGGGGTGATCCGGACAGAACTCAGTCGCCATGTAGAGGGCTGGTTCCCTCTGCTGGGAGCACTGCTGAGGATTCCTGCTTGGCTGCTAATGAAGACCCCAAAAGAGGGCAGCCAGACCACCGTGTTCTGTGCCGTGACGCCGGGCCTCGAGGAACTATCGGGCAAATACTTCTGGTAGGAGGCAGGACTAAAACTCACCTGCAGGAAGATTCATGGGCATCACAGAGTTTGTCTTTGACAGAACTTTCTGTTTCCACAGCGACTGTGCAGAGAAGGAGGTGGCACCGGAAGGTCGGGATGATGAAGCAGCCCAGAGGCTGTGGGAGGAGAGCGCTCGATTGGTCAGACTGAACGACACAAACTGACCTCTGATGTGCAGAGATAGAAAATTAAAGAGATGGCAGCAGCACCCCCTTCTGGACAAAGGCAAGAAGGGATGAGCATTTCCCTCAGGTGCTGACAAGGAATCCTAGTTCTCCATCTGCTTGGAGCGGAGCAGCAGCACTGCAACAGGACAGTTTCCCTATACTTTTTTTTTTTTAACCAAAGATTTATTGTGATGAGAAACCATCTTGTCCTGCTCCCGCTTTGACTGTTTGACCTAAAACAGGTTGACCAATCACATTGTAGTATGATGGTTTCAGGAGGAAAAGCGTATATCTACTACTGTCATATGAGTTTAAGTACTAACTGGTTGCTGCTATGGCGATAGAGTACATATACCAGCCGTCGCAGGTTCGAGTCCGAGCCTGCCAACTGTCATTGAATGCCTCTCCCCACTCTTGTAACACGCTTTCCTGTCTGCATACTGTCAAATAAAGGCCGCTTGTGCTGAATTTGTCACAATCCATGATTTTGTCTTTGAAAGAAGAACAGCAGCAGTGTAACTTGTTGTGGTTTATCCTGGCCCTGGTTGTTTTGAACATTTTCATTTGTTACTGAGATTGACTAAAGCCAAAGTGTGGTAGGCGGGGACTAGGTGTTGCTTTGTCCTATTAGCTCTGCTGAACGTCCGTCTTTTTCTCAAATGGATTCAATGGAAGCAGGCCCAGATCGATAATATGTAAAACTAAACCGAGGGTGCTACACATATACCCCATTCACACTACCCTTGAAAAACCGATCCATACAGAGACCGGTCTGAGCTTGGATCAGTTAACCAGGCCGAGCTTGGTTCTGACGACCGTTCACACGTCACGCTATCTCGGTTCCTCGACTCCTCGCCTCCTGGTGACGATCTGCGGTATTACTGCCAGTATTGAAGGAGGAAATCAAGCAGTTGGTGGCGGTAATGCACCAAAAGTTGTTTGCCAACCGCCATAAAACACAAGAAGAAGACGAAGAAGGAGGAAATCAAGCAACTCAAAATGGCGCCGCCCGTCACATTCAGAAAGTTATGCTTGATTATTATTGCTGTACTTCGGTGTTTTGCGGAGGGTCAGGCGAATACGGCCACCTTTCTTGGATGTTTATAGTTGTTTATAGTTGTTCTTCTTCTTCTGTGTTGTGTTGGTTGGCAAACAATTTCCGTAGGGGCGCTACTGCCAACTACTGGAATGGAGTGTGAATCGCGATGTGCAGCCAGACGGAGATGACGCATTCTGATCATGCGCTCTTGTTATCAGAGAACCGAGCCAGGGAAAAACCAAGCCGAGCCCACCTCTGGAACTGGTCTGCACTTAGCTCGGTCCGGTTGTGTCTAGCTCGGTTCAGTTCAGTTTGCTTTCCATTTACACACGATAAGTTATCTCAGTTACTGAGCTCGGACCGGTCTCGGCACGGTTTTTAAAGGGTAGTGTAAATGGGGTAATAGTCAATCTGGTTTTCCAGGTTACAGGGCGATTTTCTTTTCCACACTTATGCTACGTTCACACCTAAAGCAGCAGATGCAGCAAAAACGTATGTGCTGCTTCCTTTTTGATGCTTGTAAGTTTAGTTATTAGACGCAGCAGAAGCATCTTTGTTGCTCTAGCAGAAAAGTGGGGAAAAGTGGGTCTGATGCGCGTTGGGCGGAGCTACCCTTTCCTTTCTTTGCCTGAAACAATGGCAGCTATACTTGCTGCGATCCGTGGGTAAAACGTAACTTTAATCTTTTTAAGCGAGAAAGTCCACATGAAAACATGGTCTGTAAAGTCAGTCCATCCAGATTACCATCCTGCCTTCAAATATTATCTCGCTGTCGTAATCCAAACTGCAGGCACCAGAATAATAAAAGCCAACATATTTTTCTGGCTGGTTTCAAAATCTATAGAAAAATACTATAGCATTGATAGACATGTACTTGTTATTCAGTCTTCAAGCTAAATCTTGAAATGATATGCAAAGACCATAACAATATAATAAATACATGTATATGACATGTATATCATCAATTTAACAGTTTTGGCACATTAACAAATTAATTTTATTGTGATGAATTTGTATAATATGTTTTATTACATGATTTATAGACTTCAATGATGCCATACTGATGCAATGTGATGTGTCTATTTTTTTTATTATAAGGTATTCTACTGATGCTATGAAACAGCCAGTGTGTGTCAAAGTGATGAATTTATCTTTATTTTATTGTTTTAAGCCCCCCTGAAAATGAGAACATCATCATTGTTCGATGCTGTATTGCTTGTACTGTTTACATTGTGACCAGTCTAACTAGAGAGTACCAATATGGCGGCCGGTGGCTTCACTCCACGCCGTCCACATCCAGTGGATCAACAGAAATATTTGAGATTTTGCAGGCTTGTGACCTCAAAGCATTGAGTGCATTTCCTCCATGAGCGCATATAGTGTGAGTTTTGGGACTCGGCCTGAGGTGACATTTTACTGGTTCCAGTTCTCATCAGAACTCCAAGGTACCTGCAGGAACCCATCTGGACCTACGGCGCTGATGGAGAGGATGAAGGCTGTATTCTACACAGTGGGTGGGGCTTCCATGCTCCTATTGGCGAGTTAATTTGCATGTGGAGCGGATGCAGGTCTGAGCTGGTAATGAAGCGGGACAGGTCAGACCTGCAGGATGATCTGCAGCTGAGGATGATGATGTTGTCGTTGTTCCTCTAATGATGCGTGTCAGACGATAATCTGCAGATCAGCCGCCGTCTCTCTGCCTGACCCAGTTTGGGATCTGAGCCGACACTGAAACCGACTCTGGGTCAGCTGGGAGGCTTTCAACATCTGCCGGGCCTCCAGAGCAGGATGAGCGGGATTAACACAGTGATCCACATCAGGGATCTGCAGACAGAACCTGAGGGAACATCCGCTGCTACCGACCGAACCCAGAGTCCAGCAGACTCACCTGATTCAGATTAGAGACTGTTTGAAGACTATTTTCTAAATAATTGACCGAAGGTCCAGAAATATGAGCTAAGGAGCATAAAACAGACTTCCTGAATTAAAGCAGAATCTAGGTTAACTGCTTTTAGTAAACATGCAAATTGAAATTGACGTTTTCTAAAGAAAAACAAGCCTTTGTTGGGCTCTTTATAAAACCTGGAACTCAACGCCATTTCTGACATTTTGAATTTAAAAAGCTTCCTGGATGGGAAGCAAAATATCTTCAAACTTGGAAAGAAAGTCCAGTTTTTTTTACTTTTTTGGAATGACAATGAGCTGGATGACTGAAAATCTTCACCAGCATAGAGCTTGAGAAAATATAATCAAGAACATAGGATATTTGGCTTTAAGAACATCTATGAGAAGCTAAAAATAGCTGTTAAAGTCGTAGTGAAGCGGCTGGTCCAACCGTTGCATTTGCTAATTCCCCCGAGTGGTGCACGACTTTACACAAGTTAATAAAGTGAATGTGATTGGTCGATTATTTAAGGGGGCGGGATTGTTGTGGTGGAAGGTTCGCAAGAACCAGAAGCATGTTGCTAACCAGTTAGCAACTTAGCGCTAGCAGGTTCCCAATGGGAAATTCCATTGGGACCAAGTAGCACTAAATTGGTGACTTAGAAACGACGCTGTCAAGGAACGCTATGGACAGCGGAAACATGCAAGAGGAGGAGAGTTTAGTGTCGGAGGTCGTGGATGAGTCTCCTCCGTCATCCATTTTTTATTTAGAGGAGGAAAGCGGGGACGAAGATGTTGTGGAAGAGGACGCCAGGGCGGCAGAAGCTTGGTTTGGTGTAGAAGGCTTCCAGCCGTACATGTTTGAGCCCTTGCCTCGCAACGCTGCCAGTTCTGTCAGCTCTACGCCTGCCGAAGACACAGACGTCCATCCCCGTGAACACTGGGACGGAACTCAATGGGAAAGGATTCTAATTTCTGATTTCAACCGTTGCGTATATTAGCTGCGACATATGAATCAAGATGATATGACTGAAAAAATTTTGATTGACAGATGACCGTAGATATATGATTGGCTGAATTTAGGTGTTCAGGCTGACGTAGAACTAACTGGCCTGCAGAAGATAATGAGAAAAACTAATTTTAAGACAGGATTTTTTTTATTTTCTAACTTTTGGGACAATCTGGTCTGATAAAGAATACATACATGTTTAAGCCAGAATGATTTGACATTTAAATATGATTTCCCTACAACATTTTATAAAAAGTCTAACGTTTATTTGTTGTTTTTTTCAAGATATTCTTTATTTTTTTAATGCTGGTTCTGATACCTAACCTGCTCCAGAATCAATCCAGCAGGTTTCTGATTAAAATGGTTCCAATTCCGCCAGAGGGAGGCGCTGTGACGCTGCCGAGGAGCCGCTGAGCCAGCGGGGAGTCCGGGGGGGAGGAGGAGGAGGAGTAACCGGACACCGACCCCCCAGAGCTGCTGCTGGCTGCTCAGAGTGGAGCAGAGCCCGGCGGCAGCAGCAGCAGCGGGGCGGTCACCTAGTTAACCCCGCAGACAGAGAGCGGAGGCGCGGCGGAGCAGAGCAGGAGGCTCCGGTCCTCCCTGCCGAACTTTCCCCGGCTTTGAACCTCTTTCAGCGGTTGCTGCCGCTCCACAGAGCTGCGTGGACGAATAACGGAGTTCTGCGAAAGTGGGAGAAGTTCCGTCCTAAGCAGCCTGACAGCCGCTGAGATGAAGAAGAACAGCTCCGGGAAACGGGTGAGTTCTGATGGAACCGGTACCGGCTACTTTTCTGCCGAATTTAACCGAACTTTGAGGAACAAAAGCCCCGGGATTAGGATAATCTTTTATTCTGAAGGCAAAGAAGCCGTTATTTATTGCAGACTACGCTTCCGTTTTTCAGAATAAAGGTATAATTTGTTATTGTGGAATTTGATGCGGTCAGAATCCGACAACTTCAGTTTTAAAGTTTATGAGTTATCAAAAGGAACAAAAATCTGGAAAATATAGAGGTGTTGAGTTCTTGTAAAAGATGCATCGTTAAAATCTGGAAATTCGGAGAGGAAGCAGCGAACCCGAACAGAGTGACAGTTAATCTGCCAATAGCTCAACGGTTCAAGTTACAGACATTCACCGAGCCAACATCTGACACCTAAAGGCATCACACTCCACCTTCATCTAACTATCTAGATCCTGAACTCACCGATACTGATAGCGATTTGGATCCTGAACTCATCACAGAAAGGTTGAAATGATCAGTATTGGCTAGAAATGAAAAACAAAACAAAGAAAACAAAACAAGGACCATAAACACACAACAAAACAAGGTAAAACTAAAAATCAGAAAAGTCAACTTAGCTGAACCCCGAACACACCAGATCCATTAAAACTACACGCAGGTCCCTGAACACACCGCAGCCAGTTCAATTACCACTCAGAATCCTAAATTCTCCTCTGACTGGTTAGAAACAACAGTAAGAACTATAAACACACAACAGACCGGTAATAACTATCACCCATGGTCATAAACTCACCACAGTTTATGGCCAATTAGGATCCTGAATGCACCACAGACCAGTTGGAATTAACAGTCTGTCTTTTACTGGTCTTTGAACTCACCAAAGATTAATCAAACTAATAATCATGATCTTGAACTCACCTCATATTAGTTAGAAACTAAAAAAATAGGATCCTGAATGCACCACAAGCCAGGTGGAATTAACAATCAGTCTTTAACTGGTCTTTGAACTCACCAAAGATTCATCAAACTAATAATCGTGATCCTGAACTCACCTCAGATCAATTAAAACTAAAAAAATTAGGACTCTGAATGCACCACAGGCCAGGTGGAATAAACAATCAGTCTTTTACTGGTCTTCGTACTGACCAAAGATTAGTAAAAATGAATAATCCTGATCCTAAACTCACCTCATATTAGTTAAACCAAAAAATTAGGACCCTGAATGCACCACAGATTAGATTATAAAACATTAATTTAAACCCTTCCTGAGGCTTGGTGGTGGATCCTACCTCGTCACATGGTTGGTCCAGCTTACTGACAGCTTCCTGTTTCCTGCATCAGGGCCCGGCGGACTCGGCGCAGCAGAACTCTCCACCAGACAAAGCGGGCTGGATCAAAAAGTTCAGTGGGAAGGGGATCTTCAGGGAGATCTGGAAGAACCGCTTCGTGGTTCTTAAAGGAGACCAGCTGTTTATCAGCGAGAAGGAGGTGAGTCAGCAGGGGGCGGGGCTTGCAGGTGAGCGACACCTGTCACCACCAGGGGTTTAAGCACCACCCTGATAACCTGCTGTACCTGGGGACTGGCATGTGACAGGACAGATGGTGTTGTCATGGAGACAGAAATCACCCATGATGTCATCGCTGACCTGAATCAGTGCGGCCGATTTAAAGGGACGGAGCAGCTTTTTGTTTTTTGTGAGAATCTGAAGTTTTAAACATTTCCTGGTTTTTGACCCAATATTCAATCTTTGAGAACAACGTTCCGCTCTGAGTGAGAGAACCTGAAGGTTCTCCAAACCTCTTCCTGTAGAATCTGAGGTTCCTCTGGGTGTTGGTTTGGTTCCATCTGAAATCTTCAGCTTTCTGCTGTTGATGTTCTGCAGGAGTCACGTTTCAGGCCCAACAGGTGGACACATGGCAGCTCAGGTTACACTGCCACCACGCGGGGTGGAACCTCCTCACAGAACCTTTAACAGAGATAGAATGTGCTCATAGAACTTCTATCACCTGCAGAATGCTCTCATAGAAGCTGTAAACCAGACGACTGCATGCTGGAACCGTTATGGGACACAAATCCTCTACAGAACATGTGTTTACATCCAGCACTGAGGAGAATAAAGCCCCTCTTAGAGCCGCTTCTGGTTCTTTTCAGATTAGACTATGATTCTCACAGCGTTGACGGCTCTGTGGGAACCTTGAGTCTCAGTTGGTTCTTTTTTCTTTTTCTTTTTTTGTTGCCTTTATCAGCCAGAACCTGAGAGGAACCGATTTTTAGTTTGATTCCTCTTTTTGAAAGGCCCCATGTTGGTCACATGACCAGTGGAAGCTTCCTGACAGCCGCCTCAGCACCTTATTAGGCCATCGGCGGTTGGTTTAGTACGTTTCCATGGAGACCAGAGAGGGTGATGTTCCTCTTCTTAGCAGCTAGTCTTCCGGTCTGATCCGAAATAACCTCAGAGGAACCACAGAGGAACAGAAAGTCCCAGTCTGGTTAACATGACAAGATCTGACTTCCAGCCGCAGGCCGCCTCTCTCCGTCTGCCGGACCCTCAGAAACACTGAACCGGTTCCACCAGGTGATCCACAGAACATCAGTGGGTCGTTCTCCAGAGTTCCTTAGATGTTTTC